CACGTTATTTTTATCTGCACTTCTCTCCTTCGACTGTGGAATCACTGTCCCCATCTTACTGTGAGAGATCATCACTCAAATCCATTCAACTGCCCACTGTAGTACTCTAGCACCAAGACCTCAGGCAGGTGACCCGGGCCTGGCCAAAACATTGAACGTGGAGCCCAAATCAGCTCCGTGAACCCTCCTCTTGAATTACAGTGGTATATTCTGATGTGCTTGCTTTCCTGTGAGATTGCTAACATGGGTGATGTAAATCTCAAGGTGCTGTGGCTTTGGCTCCTGTTGCACACAGGAGCCTTTCTGTAGGAGGGGAGACTAGGCCAGAAAAGCAAGCAGAGACGGAAAAGCAGAGACAGAAAAAGAGGGATGAAAAACAATTAGAATGACATAGAATCCTTGGATTTAGTTGACCTTGCAGCCAACTCCACCTCTGTCCTTACTAGTTAAATGAATACATAAGTAGCTTTTTATTGCTTAAGACTGTTTTCGTTAGCTTTCTGGCACTTACAAATATAGTTCCACTATGCAGAATTACATTCTAAGGATGAAGGAAGCAAAGAGGATCTCATGTAATTAATGCTGGTCCTCAGGGTAATGCAAGGTAAACAGAATTATAAACTTCCACTCATAAAGAAGTTTACAAAGTGTCCCATTAGTCCATCTTTTCTTAAAAATTTTTTTATTGATTTGGAGCAGGGCGGGAGACATCGATTTGCTGTTCCCCTTCCTTACGCACTCATTGGTTGACCCTCGCATGCACCCTGACTGGAGGGGGAACCCACAACCTTGGCGTATCCAGATGACGCTCTAACCCACTGAGCCACCCAGCCAGAGTTCCCATCAGCCCATCTTATTCATTTTTGATTCCATGGTATCCAACAGATTTGTGTTAAAATTAAATGAAATGTGGGATTTCTACTGTGACTGTGCTTTTCTGGAATTAAATATAAATAGTGCCTTCTGATACATACAGTGGGTATCTTTGAAAAGTTGGTTTATGAATAATTTTTATTTTCTTCTTTTTGTCTGCATTGCCTGAATTGCCTATAATAAGCATCATGTTTACTAGTTTAATCAGTTGTTATTATTTACTATCGTGCAACATCTATTGGTGTTGTAGCAAATTATCACCAGTTTGGTGGCTTAAAGGAAAACAAATATATGATTTTATAGTTCTGGAGGGCAGACGTCTAAAGTGGATCTACAAGGTTCTTTGGCAGAAGAACATTCTAGGGGAGGCTGGCTTCCTTGCTTTTCCAGTTTCAAGAAGCTGCCTGTCCCTGGCTCCTGGCCACTTTCCTTCATCTTCAAAGCCAGCAGTTTTGTGTCCTCTCTTCTCCTGACTTCAGCTTCCCTCCTACAAAGGCTCCAGTGATTGCGCTGGACCACCCAGATAATCCAGGATAACCGCTCTCTCTCGTCAACCATAACCTAATCACATCTGCAAAATCCCAGGGATTAGGACCTGGATGAACATCTTTGGGGGCTATTATTCAGCATGCCTCAACTATCTACATGCAAATGAGTGTGAAAAGTAATTAATATAAATATATATAACATTAATATAAAAAATGAGAAGAGTGGGTACCTTAGTCCTTTTGTGTTGCGGTCACAAAAATACCACACTAGGTGGATTACACCACAAACTGACTTCTCACCGTCATGGAGGCTTGAGAGTACGAGACCAAGGTGTCAGCTGACCTGGTGTCTGGTAAGAGCCCATTTCCGGTGCATGGAGAGCAGTCTTCTCACTCTGGCCTCACCTGGCAGAGGGGCGTAAGAAACTGGGGCCGTTTTTTCATAAGGGCACTAATCCAATTCATGAGGGTCCCCCCTATAACCTAATCACCTCCCAAAAGGCCCCCACCTCCAAATACCATCACACTGGGGATTGTTTTAACATACGAATTTGTAGGGGGAACACAAATATTCTGTCTACAGCAGAAGGCAGTGTTTCAGTGGTTGGATGAGGTCCCTGGGAAATAGTAGGCTGAACAATATCTGGGCTGTGGTCTGGCTCCAGCTTTCCTGACAACCACAAGCGCTTGTTCTGGGGTTTCTGGCAAGGCTGGAATGCAGGCAGGCTAGTGCTGCACATTTGGCAGGAATAGCTCAGGGGATAAACTCCTATGAAACACTTCCTGCCAGGGAGGGAGGGGAGAACAGGAATTTCATCAGGACGTAGAGCAAGCCAAATGTGGGCCAGGGTCCTGCGGGCATTCTGCCCCTCAGGGTAAAAAGCTGGGACAGTGGTGGTGGGCTTCTTTAGGATGACAGCTCTCAAAATGTTTGTGTCAGAAGCGCCACTGTTCCCATGCGAATGGGCCGCTCTCCGCTGAGTGCACAGGTATTATCCGGGGAGCTCCTTTCTCCTTGGAAGAGTTACCTTTCCCTTTTCCTTGTGTTGGGTCAGAAGAGTATGCCCTCCGGTAGCTTCTTAAAGAAAGATGCTCAGGTCCTGGCTGATGTGGCTCAGTTGGTTGGGCATTGTCTCACAAACTGAAAAGTTGCGGGTTCAATTCTTGGGCAGGGCATGTGCCCGGGTGCCCAGGTTGTGGGTTCTGTCCCCAGTCAGGCATGTGCAAGAGGAATCCAATTGTTTCCCTTCTTTTCTTTCTTTCTTTCTTCCTCCCTTCCCTCTCTCTGGAATCAATGAAAAAGAAATTTTTCTTTTAAAAAAAGAATAAAAGATACTCAGGAAATAAATGCTTTTGAAAGCCTGCATGGCTGGAAATGTCTTTATCCTTACACTTAAGTGATAATTTGACTATATAGAGGCCTAGGTTGGAAGTTTTTCATAAAAATTCTTAAGGTACTGCTTCATGATGTTCTTTTTAGCTATCAGAGTTGATGTAGAGAAGCCTAAAGATTTTTTCTTTAATGTAACAGACTTCCCTTCCTCAGATCTTGAAGAATATTCTTTTTGTCCTTGGTGTTCCAAAATTTCACAAACAATATGCTTTGGAGTCAGTCTCCTTTTGCCCATTATGTTGGGACATTAGAGTCTGGAAAATGCTGAATTATTTTGTTGACTTCCTCTTTTGTTTTCTTTTTTGGGATCTCAAATTATTTGACTTTCTGTACTAGTCTTATTTTTTTCTTTCTTCTATTTTCCCATTTTTGCCTTATTGGCTCCACTTCTGGGAGCTTGTCAACTTTAATTCCTAACTTCTAGTGACTTCTAATTTTTGCTACCAAGCTTTTTAATTCCTAAGAGCTGTTTTGTCCTCTGAATGTTCCTTAATAAAACAGTATCTTTTTTATTTTATGGCTACACTATCTTCTTACTTCTCTGAAGATGTATTTTTTTTTTTTTAATGGAGGATGTTTCTTAAAAAACAAAAAAGATTTTCTTCTTGCTTCATGTTTTCTCCAGTTTCCCATTTGGTTGTCATTCTTGATAAAGATGTCTCTCAGCTACCTATCTGGCAATCGATTGTTCATATTTAAGAGCGGGGAGCGAAAACGCAGATTAGAAGCTTTGCGTGTTGCAGTTGGGGAGTGGTGTTGAACCTCGCTGCTGGGTGACCTGCCTGGGTCACTTACTGGGAGGCCCTTAATTTAAAAAACTTTAGACCTTTTCCCTTGAGCTACATTATCTCCAAGAGACTTCCAATTTCCTGCTGAGAGGCCAGACAATAGGGGATGGCGTGATGGATCACAGCCTCAGGATGCACCCATTTACATAACCATTTGCAATACAGAACCAGGGCTCTTGCCTTTGTCTTAATGCATCCGTATGAATTTCCTAGGGCTCCTGTAACAAACTACCACAAACTGGGTGGTTTAAGACAATGGAACTGATTCTCTCACAAACCTGGGGGCTATAAGTCTGAAGTCAAGGTGTCAGCAAGGCCATGCTTTCTTTTTTTAAAAACTTTATTTAGAAAGAGGGGAACGGAGGGAGAGAAACCTCCGTGTGCCAAAGAAACCTCTCTCACGCCCCCAACTGGGGACCTACCTACAACCCAGGCACGCGCCCTACACTGGGAATCAAACCAGCAGCCTTTTGGGTCGCAGGCCGGCACTCAATCCACTGAACCACACGAGACAGGGCAATGTTTTTCCTTGTAGGATGACAACAGAAGAGACCCCAAGCCAAACTATTGTCAGACACTGTAAAAATCAAGTTTTTTGGTGCATGTTAAATCTCTTCAGAAAAAAGCAACCTGGGTATTTGTCTTGAGAGCCTTATGTTAGCATGGTTTATGTTGCAAATAATAGAAAATCCAACTCAAAGCTACTTGCAAAACGGGCTATTGGCTCACGTATGGAAGGTCTACTGGTGGAGCTGGAAAACTTGCCGAGTCCATTGTCGTGCAGGTTTTCTTCTAGCTGCGTTAGGGCCATCCTCAAACTCCATGTAATTTCAGGAACAAGAAAGGGATCAGTGGAACAAAATTTTGAGTATGACCAGTTTTTAAACAACCAGAATGATCAGTATTTAGTCATTTGTTATTATTAGAACTACTGCTTTCTATGCAGTAATACCTCCTGAACCCAGCACACCAAACTCACCCAGGCCAAGGAAATACGCAAGCTTTCAAGTTGGCCACTCACTAGACTGGGACTTAGTAGCAAATGGTGCTAGTTGGGCTGTGAGGGAACATCACACAAGGAGGCGTCTGGCCAGGAAGAGAAATGACCTAAAATCTGCTCTCTCAGTCAAGGAAGAGCAGAACATACGATTTCCTTGGACTGAGAAGACGGTGCAGCAAACTGGCCCGGGGCCATGGTGGAATGCACGCTCTAGGGGTAATCATTACAAAAAAAGAAAAGATTCCAACATTTGCTGCTCAACCCCATCTTAAAAAAAAAACCAAACACTATTAAAATTAAAATGTAATTCTTCCACCATCATAAAAAGAAATATGTAGCAGTGACTTGTAAAGGTGCTTATATATGCAGACTGTTTATCCTTTGGTATATTACAAATACTTTTTCTGAATTGGGCAGGAAATCCAGTTTTTGAAGATCAAATGATTTTTTTATTTTTGAAAGTCTGAAGGTTTTTTTTAATCGCAAAAATATACCACCAAGTTGAATTTTTTATTTTGCTAACGTACAAAGAGAATATTAATAGCCCACTGTTTATGGTTTCTAAACGTCACTGACGATCTCCGTAAGATGCTGCTGTCCTTCACAGACCAGTGTCTGATCTGGAAAAGGCCAACCTGCCTTCCCTTCTATCCACCAAATTAATTTGTCTTTTCAGAAGTCTTGTCGGATGTTTTCTTTGTTGGCCTCTCCATGCTGCTGCTTCATTTGAAAGACTTCATTTTCTAATTGCACAATAGTCCTTTCAATCTCGTAATTCTTACTGACCAGGGATACCCAACTAAAATAGAAAACAAAGGAAAAATTACTCATTGTAAAATTTCTCTTAGAATTTATCAGATGTACATTTTCAGCCAGGAACATTAACACTAACATTCACTTTCAAGTTTTCTTTTGAAAAAACAGGCACAATTGGGGGAAGTGAGGAAAAAGGTTACACAGGGTCTCTCTGCAGTATTTTTTTTACAACTGCTTGTGATACTATAATTATTTCAAAATAAAATGTTTTATTAAGGAAATTAAAAAGAAAAGATAGGAAAGAGAGAAGACAGTATTTTTAATTAATTTACTTATATATTTTTAAGATTTTATCTGTTTTTAGACAGAAGGGAAGGGAGAAAGAGAGGGAGAGAAACATCAATCTGTGGTTGCCTCTCACGCACCCCCTACTGGGGACCTGGCCCACAATCCAGGCATATGCCTTGACTGGGAATCGAACTGGTGACCCTTTGGTTTGCAGGCCAGCACTCAATCCACTAGGTCACACCACCCAGGACAGAAGACAGTATTTTAGAGAGAGAGCGAGAGAGAGAGAGAGAGATTGATTGATTGATTTGAGAGCGAGAGCACGCGCAAGAGAGGAACACAGACATATGAGAGCAACATTGACTGGTTGCCTCCCATATGTGCCCTGACCAGGAATTGAACCCCCAACCTTTTGGCATGTGGAACAATGCTCCAACCAACTGAGCGACATCATCCAGGGCAGAGAAGATAGTATTTTAAATGGATTAACCGAAAAAGAGAGAAAACAGGACAAAAGCAATACTTAAAAATGGTGGAGAAATTTCTAGAGTTGATTAGAAAACATTTCAGGGATTTAAGGCAACTTCCCCTAGGGAAAAAACATCTCTAAGATGAATAAAAAGAAACACACATGCATGTTTGGAAGATTATATTTGCTTGGGGAAAAAATATAAGAAGATGCCTAATATACGGTATGGGGTAGAAAGTACTAAATCCCCCTTCTACAAACTAAAAATAGTTATTTTTTTCCCTTTAAAAACAGGTAGAATCCCATTCAGAGCAGAAACAATGGACTGAAAACAGGGCGCTCGGAGAAGAGAGTCAATCAGCAGCGATCTCGTTTACAGGTCCTGCACTGCCCTCCAGCTCCTGCCTCAGGAGGCGGCAAGGTGGTGAAGGGGCCTCAGACAACAGCCTCTCCTCGCAACTGCAGCGTCCCATTCCAGTACTGTTTGTATCAGGCCGTTAATTTTGATTTTAAATTTCCTAAGCAATTTAAAAGATGATGGAATTGTAGGTACTCACTTTGACTCCATTTCTCTTAATTTAGATCCAGCTGTGAGTTGCATGTTCTTTCGCTGCCAGTTTAAATCTTGAATATGTTTCCTGTAAAAAATATTATTTATACAGCTCACCTACATTTTAACATTTTCTGTTGACTATCATCAACAGAAAAAAAATCTAGTCAATATAATACATCTTTCATCCCTTGAAAAGAACAGATATGTGAAGTCATAGACTAATTCCAGGAATTTAACTTTCTTCTATAATTATTTTTCAATTAAATTTCATAAAACACGCTTATTGTGAAAAATTAAATGCACACCCATGTGCAGGTGAAAAATTGAAGGTCCTCCTCCCATGTGCTTCTCCTCCCTGATAACCGCTGTTTGGTTTTTGGCAGGTGCCCTCCCAAACTTTCCTACATGTGTATATGCACATGTGTACAGATTAGTTTGTTTTTAATGTTTGAAACCAGAATATACATGCTATTCTGCACCCTTCTCCCCTTCTGGAAGGTCCTTTCCAATGTCTGCAGACTTGTAAATTGCAAGTGACCTAGTGGAGTTGTTTTCAGGTCTGTTTCTCCGCCACTCAGGTGGGGCAAACCCAACACCAGGTGCTGGATACAGCGGATCAATCGTTTCCGCTCATGCGATTATAATCCACTGGTTCTTTTTTCTTTTCACTCTGTTTATTAAGGGCTCACCTAAACTTTATTCTGAAATAAGAGAAAAAAAATTACCTTAACTTCTGAAGCTCTTTCTGTGCATGTTCAATCATATGAACTAGATTTCTAGGGAGAAAAAGAAAAATCACAGTAAGGCATGTTGAAATCTAATAGTACCAACTGAAGGGGAACTATCTAGTTGACATAAGGTAAAATTTTCCTGCTTAAAAATAGTCAATATTGGATTGGACAAAAAGTCCATTTAGTTTTTTCCATAAAAGACACATTTTTCATTTTCACCAACAGCTTTACTGATTTGGATATTTTGAGTATGTTGGCTACCTCCCATTGCTTTTGGCTTTTAGTGGGTAGAGGCCAGGGGTGTGCGAAACATCTTCCAATGCATAAGACAGACCCACAGCAAAGAATTATTTGGCCAAAGTGTCAATAGTACCAAGAAAATTTGCAAACCACTTCTGACATGTTCAATCAGTTATAGCACCTTCTCCATACACTGCACAAACCGTTTTTGAGTTTCAGCTGCATTTTTACATTTCCTGAAATAATAAAGAATATATCAAAAATGTTGTGTATCTTCTTCCATCTTCAATATTAAATGGCTGCACAAAAATTCACCAATTTTGCTAAGTTCTCTTTAAATGTATGCTGATTTGACAGCTGTCACAATACAATGTAGCAAAAATTGTTTCAAATGAAGGTGAAGACAACTGAGCACTACTAGAGCCATTGTACAGCAAAAACTAAATTAACTTTTTGGCCAACCCAGTATTTACTGAGTGCTCATGTCAAACACCATGATAGACACCACATAATTAGCTAATTTAATTCCAGCAAGAATTCTTTGAGGTAGGTAGGATTATCCCTATTTCACATGTGAGAAAAGTAAGCTTAGAAAGGTTCAGTAACATAGTATCAAAGTTGAATCCTATTTCAGGTCTTTTAAAAGCAGTTCACTGACACTGATTTTGCGAAATTAAATTATTTCTTAGACTGTCATTACTTTTCATAGACAAGATGGGAAATATCTGATGAATATACCCTTTTAAACTCTCCTTTATCTTTATCTTGTCATTCTGCCCTCTTAGAGAGAAGAAAATCATTAACAGGGTGCTTACCCCCCCACCCCCATTTTTTTTACGATTTTATTTATTTTTAGAAAGATGGGAAGGGAGGGAGAAGAAGAGGGAGAGAAACATCAATGTGCAAGATACATCAACTGCATGCCTCTCGCACGCCCCCAGCTGGGGGCCTGGCCCCGTAACCCAGGTATGTGCCCTGACCGGGAACTGAACTGGTGACCTTTCGGTTCGCAGGCTGCTGCTGGCCCCTCTCCCTCTTAGGTGTACAGGTACCTCCTCAAATACTCCGTTTCCATTAAAACTTACCGCACTGTATCATAAGAGTGAACGGTTCTAGCCCCAGCTATGCCCTAAACAGCTGTGTGTCCTTGGATGACTCACCCGACCTGACATCAGGGGGGCTAAGCCTGCTTACCTGTAAAATCAGAGGCTGGCCCTGAAGGTGCCCCTTCAGTGGCAAGCACAGAATTCTCTCCTTATTAACAAAATGGTTTTTTTAAGCAGTTCTGCACCAAGACCTCTTAGAGCTAAAAGCTTTTCTGCCCAGTCTGATGCCTTCAAATCCTTTCTGAAGAAAGAAAATTTACTCTTGATAAAATATATTTCCTGTGGAGCAGCATCCACTGGCTTTGCAGGAGACCAACTATGCTCAGGGGAATGGCCAACACTATGGAATATTAAGTGATTAAATGAAAAACAAGGGATGCACACAGTACTTAGCACAGTCGCAGAAAGGAAGAGGGTAAACAGCGGCAGGATTTCAATCAGGGAAGACAAGGAAGTAAATTTTTTCTTTTAAAAATTATAAGCATGATTTTTAATCATCACCTAAGGATGTACTTTTTATTGATTTCAGAGAGAGGGAGGGAGGGGGAGAAAAACGTCGGTTGCTTCCCATACACGCTGTCTGGGGCTCAAACCTGCAATCTAGGAATGTGCCCTGAAGGAAACTGAACTCATAACCTTTTGGTGCAAGGCCGATGCTCCAACCGAAGCTCCAACCGAGTCACCTGACCAGAGCAAGGAAGATGTGAGTTGGGCTTTAAATGAACTGAATTTGGGTCAAACAGGTAAAAACATTCCAGGAGGGGGCAAGGCATGAGTAAAGGCTCAGAGGCAGATTTTATGATACTCATCAGAGAAGACTTTTTTGGCTGGTGTCCAAGTCTCCAACTGAGGTATAGCTTTGAATACCACGTTAAATAGTCTGAACCTTACCCTGGCCAGTAGTGGGACATTATTAAAGGTTTCTAGGCAAGCTCAAAGCAATGTTCTCTTCAGTTTAATGGGGCTTTTAGTGGCCCTGCATCCATGTTCTCTGCCATTCCTGGACTGTTCTTGCTCTCCTCTAACTGTCCAAAACTCTCACCCTTTCTTTCTTTTTAAAATATTTTATTTTTTGAGAGAGGAGAAAGTAGGGCAAAAGAGAGGGAAGGAAGCATTGATGTGTGAGAGAAACACTGATTGGCTGCCTCTCATATGCTCCAAAATGGGGACTTGGCCTGCAGCCCAGGCACGCGCCCTGACCGGGAATCGAACCAGCGACCTTCTACAGGCTGGTGCTCAATTTACTGAGCCACACCAGCCAGGGCCAAATCATACCCTTTCCTAATGACCTTTTTCTGGATATGTGTAGTTTTCAGGCTGCAGCACCCAGTGAAGGACTTCCTACATAGTGCCAAAAAAGGATGACTGGTTACTTGATACAAAATACCTTGTTTCTGCAACTAGATAAATCTTCTTAAGATCACATTTTTCCATTTTTAAAAATAAAATTAAAAAAAAATCTCAAATTTCTTAACCTTCCTGATCCCATTTTTCATTTATCCCCCATGTAACATAATTTACAATAGAAACTGAATTGTTTGTTCTGCAGTTTACCAAATTCTGGCTTTTGCCCACTGGATACTTACGTGGCCATAAAGATTTAAAACATAATTCTAAACGTATGAGAAAAAGCACTTATAACTTTGTGATTCTGCTTTCTTTCAGAAAACATATTCTTAATAAACAGTTTTAGCAGTCATGAGGTTCAAGGGTCTTTTCTCCTTAAAGTGCTAATAGACACTCCGGACTTTAGGGCTCAGAGGGGCCACGGGAATCACCTACCAAATACTACAAACAAGGGAATGAGCCCTACATAAACAACAAAACCTAAGCTAAAGCTGGTTATGTGGGACAGAAACAGGAGCTCAGTGGCTGGTTCTGGCACTTTGTTTCTGGAGTTCTCTCCTTACCGTCAATTCTTATTACTTGCAAATTCTGTATTTATGAATCTTCCTACCCACTCAAATTTATTTGTAACCTCAAAATTGGTACTTGTGTAAGCAGTGGGAAATCTGAGCAGCGGACAGACTCGTTCCCAGCTGAAGTGGAACAAGGAGAGGCTCTGCCTTCCTGTGTCCGGTCTCACACAGAGACGGCCAAAGGATGGACTTTCATCTGCAGCTCTGGCAAGTTACTTACACTTCTCAACTTTGTTTTCTTTAAAAAAAAAAAAAAAAAAAAATCAAGAAAATAGAATACACCAGGATGAGTTGTTTTTAGGATTTAAGATTATAATCTATGTGATACGTGTATATATGGGTAGGTACATATTTCTCCCAGGAGAAATGATACAGTATTTGCTTACTCAGTATTTGAGGCCACTTTTAGAGAACACATTACAATATTATACAGTAAACATGGTAGTTAGGCTTAGTCTCCTTCGTACACACACTCCGAGGTGGGTCTCAGAGACCTTTATATGGGCTGCAGTTCCGGGACATGGTTCCAAGTGAAAGTTCAGCTCTACTATTTTTATCCCATTTCCCCAACCCTGCTTTCCACATTCAAACAAAACAAAACCAAAAACAAAACAAAACACACAACAAACACCAAAGCTGCAAGTAGAATGGGTTTTAAAGGAACAGCAAACAGCTTCTTACTCATTATACACTTTCCAGGCATTGCAGCCGTGCTGGGACATCAGTTCCAGGTTCTCGATCCGGACCGCCTGATGCTCTAGCTGGGCCATGGAATTGTTGACACACTCTTGCCATGCAGTGATGTCATTTTTCTGACCTGAAGAAGGGGCTGGAAGCTCATATCTGAAATTAAAGAACAACATAACTACACAGCACCCCCAAACCTTTCTCTCTTCCCACCAGAACTCCTTTGAAGTCTATGCACTCTACAAAAACCAGACAGGAGACTGAAGATAAGATGTAGGCCTTACAGTAACGCTACTTATCCTAAGAATCAATTAACAAATGAGATTCAGCAAAATTCTATAGTCACAAAAATTGTTCACATCAATGTGAACTGATTCACTAAGCTATCATACATTTATATAAAGGGTTGTTATTCTAGCTACTAAATGGTGTTACTGATGAATACTTAAAACATTAAAACATCTGTAATACAGGAAGGGAAAAAAGTAAGACACACAAAAGATGATGCTATCATTTTTGTAAAACACACTACGGTCCATCCACCTTCCCACCCAAATACACACACCCCTCTCGAGAAAAAAACAGGCCTCACTCTATTCCCTCTGCACACTACCCAGTCCTTCCACGCTGAAAAGAGAGCCAGCAAGCACTCTTCATAAGTCTCAGCTCATTATTAGTGAGTTCCTACAAACTAAGTTTTCATTTTCATTTAAATATTTTTTACTAGAAACTGTAAAAACTCCAGTAATTTTCATGAAAAATTCAGGGCTATGCAACTGGGAGCAAGAAGGAATAAGCTTTTTTAAAAAAAACAAAAAGCTTTACAAATACCTTATAAATACAGTATTTTTCAAACCTGACTATAATCTAAAGAAACATTTTAAACTGTGATCCACTATACAAATACATAGCTGAACCAACATTTCACAGAACACTTACCTTTACATGCAATGCATTCTGACATTTTCTATCCTATTTTCTTTAAAAAGTACTGTCGTATCTTACTCAATTTACTTCACAACCTGCTGCTTAATGGGTCATCAACTGTGGTTTGAAACACACTGCCCTAAAGGACCAATGATCATGAATATTGTTTGAGCAGAAGCACCAGGAAATGGGAGAACTGAGGAGTCTTCGAAGTTGCTCTGCCTTTATTACCCAGGCCAGGTAGGAAAGAGAGGACAAGAAAAGAGAAATCTAGTCCTCTGGTTCCACAGACTCAGATCCCTCCTACAATCTATTCACATACTGAGAGGATAGCCCTTCTTCCCCAGCCCACCCCCGCCAAGGACTTGGCTCTGACAGATTACTTCGTGGTTCTCATTATTCCACAGCATTTTAGAGCTGAAAGGACCTCAGATGTTAAGCAATCCAATTCTCCATTTTAGAGGGTGTTTTGGTTTTTTCCCTGAGGAAGGGGAACGCGTTTTGTAGTGAAGTGGCACAGGAAGTGAGATGGGGAACCAAAGTCACACCCTCCAGGCGCTCCGCGTTTGCTAAGGCTGCCTTGTAAGTGGGAGGCAGGTATCATCAGAAGCCACCAGACTCACTTCAGCAGTGAAGAACTATATGCCAAATCAGGAACATTTCCCTGGGAATTTTTTTTTAAAAGATTTTATTTATTTTTAGAGAAACAGGAAGGGAGGGAGAAAGAGATGTGTGAGAGATATACATTGATCGGTTGCCTTTCACATGCTTCCAACTAGGGAGCTGGCCTGAAACCCAGGCATGTGCCCTGACTGGGTGTCGAACCAGAGACCTTTCAGTTCGCAGGCCAGTGTTCAATCCACTGAGCGACACCAGCCAGGGCTCCCTGGGAAATCTTAAACATGAACTTCATTACAATTTACCATTCCCCTGTGGCTGGATTTTAAAACACCTGCATTTTTGTTATTTATTTTTTTAAAAGATTTTATTTATATTTAGACAGAGGGGGAGGGAGGGAGAAAGAGAGGGAGAGAAATATCAATGTGTGGTGGCCTCCCACAAGCCCCCTACTGGGGACCTGGCCTGCAACCCAGGCATGTGTCCTGGTTGGGAATCGAACTGGCGACCCTTTGGTTTGCAGGTGCTCAATCCACTGAGCCACACCAGTCAGGGCTAAAACATCTCATTTTTAAATAATGGTGCAAAGAATTATCTTTGGACACTAACACAAGATTATATGAAACCCTACTACATGAAAAAACATATATAAAAAAAGACGAGGGTTTTCCTTTTCCAACATTTGTTTTAGCACGGCTACTGTAGTTTTAAGAAAAAATTAAGATGAAAGTAAACAATGATTTGAGCCCAGCCGAACCCAGAAATAGGACTTACCGTTTCATACTGAGCAATTCAATTGGTTGTCGGGCAGCCAGTCTTTCAAACTCATTTCTCATTATGTCGGTCTGATGTATAAATTGGAGAAAGAATTGTTTCCAAAATCATACAAATTAAAATTAACCACCACTGAACAAATAATGAATCTAACCTACTTAAATATTTACATTTTATGTTATCCATTATAACGGACCACTCCCCTTCTCACAAATCTTCTCTGGGTTAAATGCTCTCTAGGACCTAGAGAACACGGGCGCACACTTCGTATGTAAAGGGGCTCCAAGAGCAAAGGATCAATCCTGGATAAGCGGTTCTCAGTCCCAGGAGCACAGAAGAATCAGCTGGGAGCTCTGAAAGCAGTTCCGATCTGAGCCACAGCCCACCTCTCTCACCCAGTCCCACTTAATTGTTCTGGAGTGGAGACCGGACATGATTAAAATTGTTAACTCACCAGTCGCTTCTAAGGTAATGCCAGTGTTGAGAACCGTGGATCTAAGTATTCATTGGGGGAGGGGAAGAGAGGGCTTGGGCATAAAATAATTTGCTTTAGGGCTATGAGCCTAAGCCTATAGTTTCTGTTTTGATCCTGGCTGCTATTTTCACACTGTACTCTTTGCAAAGAATGGGGAATGGGCAAAATGAACTGGTTTCTGCCATCTGGTCTAACAATTTTACTGGTGTTAAAAAAATTGTACAACTCTATTTCTTTGGGGTCCAATGTTTCAGTCAATATCCTATCCCATTCGTTCTGCACATTTCCAGTCCTGAATAGAAATTACTGCTTAAGGAAATATTTACAGTAGTATCTGTTATCCCACGTAATTTCAGCTTTTTGAAGGCTTCAACTTTCTCAACGATTAGACTAAAGAGTAAGCAAAAAGAACCTTCCAGAAGTCACATTCCTTGTTTAACAGTTTTGCATTAATCATTTCTTATTGGAGAAAGCCCCTTTTTTGACTACTGCTCAGTTACACAAAGTTCTAAGAAAATGTAGTTAGCTAGTTTCCCACAGAAAGCCAGGGTACTCTTAACTAGAGGCTCTGCACAGTGACAGATAAGGAATAATAACTAACAATCAGATAGGAGAGACACTATAAAGACGCAGTACAAGCATCTGAAGCTATTAACACAGGAGCCATTACCTAACTCACATGGCCAGTAAATGACAGATCTGGGCTTTTAACTCAACTCTATCCAAAGACTGAGCTAACACTCATGGGGCTAAGTTAGGAAAAGAACTCTAGGCAGGCCTGGCACATGCTAAGCATTCATTAAATAAAACTGCCTTAGAAGTTCTTTAACTGATGAATATTTGGGTGCCCATTGTGTACCAGGCGCTGTTCTAAGTAATGAAGATACAGTGGGTGAAGAAGACAAAAAAGATTCCTGCCCACAGAGCATTCTCATTCAAGCTAAGACACGTAGGCCTTCTTCAACTATCCTAGGTAATGCAATTCCCAGGTGCTGTATCACATCACTACTTCAATTCTTTTTTAGCTTTAGCAATAATCTAATATTCTGACTAATTTGTCTGTCATCACACTCTACAATGTATATAACCTCCATGAGTATGGACCTTGTCTATCCTCTGTCCCACTACCTGTCACAGGGAATACCTTTATAAATAGCTGTTAGCCTTGGCTGGTGTGGCTCAGTGGACTGAGTGTCAGCCTGCAAACTATAAATAGCTGTTAAATGAATTAACGAAGAGCAGTTTCAAAGCCAGTTTAGGATGGATAGGGGCATGAGCAAATCAGTTGGCCTTAGTTCCAGTTATCACATCTAAAAAATTGGAATAATAAACAACTATACAGTTCACAGTGCTATTTTTAGGACTGAGAGAGCAAGGAGCCCAGTACACTTACAAGCTTCTATTATTAAAAAGGATTAAATAATCAGTACAGTAATTATGAAGATAGGAAGCATAAGTTGTATTTAAGAGAGCTAAGGAAAAAAACTGGTTCAAGTGTTTAATAGTTTGTGATTGAATGTAATTTCTGAAACTTTCAGAGATCACTCTAATAAGAAAGCATCACTGTACTTAGTTCTTGATGTGGTACTATCTATATTTGGGGAATACTTTTCAAAAAGCATGGGAAAATAGCATATCATAGGGACATTTCTCTCCTACTTAAAGCTTAGCCATTTTTTTTTTGTTACTTTAATATAAATACTGCGTTTAATGACAATTCTTTCATAAATAGTTACCTATAATGGGGTAAAAAAACACCAAACATGTATACACTAAAATGCTTAACAGAATTCATTAATTTAAAAATATTTTACATTTAGTTTAGCTGATTAAACCCTAAGTAGTATCTTGGGTGCACTTCTAGGTTTTATAAATATGTAAACAGTATATTACGTAGATATGGTTGGCCCCTTCCGTCACTCACAATCCGCAAATACCTAGGCTTTATACAAAGGCCGCCCTCCAGTGCTTCTCAGGAGCTTAGGTAATAAGGCCCAAACACATTTAAAAACACTAGACCATTTGTTTTAGAGTGGACCTCAGCGCTTAGAGGATCCCACTGAGAATTTACGCAAGGAACCTAGCTCAGAAAAACGTACACACTCACTTTTGCACTGTTAGGTAATTCGCAGAGCCTCAGAACGTCATTCTGTGACTCTCAAAATAAGAATCCGGAGAAGGCTTATCTATCTAGATGTTTTCAATGGACTGACAGTATTTGTGCAAACTAAGCAAGTTTAAGGCGGGTAAGGCTCTCAATACAAAACAAAGACTCTCAAGAATCTTGGCCCATACGCTGGGCTCAAGACATCACACTTACTTCAAAAGCAGAATAATCCGGCGCTGTCAGGTAGCTCAGGTAGTTCTTAGTAGGTCGGTATCTGCGAGTTTCCTCCTCCACCAACGCCGCAGCCTAAGAACGGGAACAGGGGCCAGGGTGGGGGCAGTAAATTGTAAAGTGCTTCTTCCAGCCCTCGGGCTGGCGAGCGCTGAGTCACCTACGTAGACACTCCGAACTCACCGCTTCCCTCACACCAGGGGCTTCATAACCTTGGTCAAAATACGGCAGCGCATCCACCACAACCTCTCCAGCCACCAACCCAGTACCCGCCATGCTTAAGTTCACTGGAGTTTTCTGAGTCTGCGCAGGCTCAGGCCTGTTTCAGGACGCCTGCGCCTGCCGCCGTCGATTTACGTCGCGTGCGTGTGGGCTTGGCGCATGCTCAGTTGTTCATTCGGAAGGCGCTCTCCCCCGGCTGCTAGACAGCGCCGGGCCATTTTGTTTTGGTCGGACGTGACGTCACGTCGTGGTTCCCCAGGCCGTGGTACATCTCAGCCTACTGTCCCCCGCCCCTACCCGGCACCACTCTTCGGCTTCCGACGCGCGGAGTAATTTGTTGGGCAGTGAGACTTTGGGTTTCTTCCAGGACGCAGAAATCTGGGAGGGAATCTTTTACAACTTTTGGAGGGAACTGGCTGCCAGATTTGGCGAGGAGAGAGAAACGGATTTCCCACCTCGGTTTACTCATCTAACCTTCAGCCTTCTCCTTCAACTTCTTTCCCTTCGCATTTCCGTGTCCTGCGCACCTTGTGCTCGGCGCCCTGAGACTCTGTGCATTGGATAAATGCAGTTTTCTTCACAGATTCTAGAAGTGGGCGCCAGTCTCCAGGTGAAATTCAGCAGCTTTATGGTATAACAGAAGGAACCTGCTCTACACCAAGGCGAGACTGATAAATTGCTCACTACGCCAGCTTTTAAAAATCCTGTCATTTTGCCTTTAAAAAGGCGTTTATAAAAATGCAATCATTTTATTGTTAGGACACCTGGTAATAGAATATACCCTGCCCAGCGTGCAATTTAAACTCAAGCTTTGTCTGCCAAGGGCCTGGAAATGTTGGCCAGTTATTAAGCCTGGTCAGTCTAGGGTCAATTGGGATTATCTTTTTAAAAAATGTATTTTCAGAGAGAGGGGAAAGGAGGGTGGTTAGCTCTTACTTATTTTACTGGTTTTATTGGGGTGACATTGGTTAATAAAATTATATAGGTTTCAAGAGTAGATTTCTATGATACATGATCTGTATATTGCGTTGTGTGCCCACCATCCAAAGTCAAATCACCTTCCATCACCATGTATTTGCCTTCCTTTGTAACTCCCCAACCTCCCTTCCCTCTGATAACCACCATTCTGCAATCTCTGCATTTGTTTTATATCCCATATCAGTGAAGTCATATGGTTCTTAGCTTTTTCTGACCTATTTCACTTATCGTAATATTTTAAAGGTCCATCCATGATGTCACAACAGCAGTGTTTCACCTTTCCTTGATGGCTCAGTAGTATTCCTTAGAATATACATACTACATCTTCTTTATCCAATCCTCTCTCAAAGGACACTTTGGTATTTTCCACATCTTGGCCACAGTGAATAGTGCTGCAATGAACACAGGGGTACATTTATCTTTGCAAGTAAGTATTGTCAAGTTTTTCAGGTAGACACCCAGAAAGGGGATTGCTGGGTCACCAGGTAACTTTATTCCTAATTTTCTGAGGAACCATCAGACTGTTTTCCATAGTGGCTGTACCAGTCTACATTCCCACCAACAGTGAATGAGGGTTCCTTTATCTACACAATCTCTCCATAACTTGTTATCACTTGTCTTGTTGATAATAGCCATTCTAACAGGTGGGAGGAGGCATTTCATTTTAGTTTTGACTTGCATTTCCATGATAGCTAGTGAAGTTGAGCATCTTCTCATATATCTGTTGGCCATTTGTCTTCTTAGGAGAAGTGTTTGTTCAGGTTCTCTGCCAGTTGTTGGTTTGTTTGGTGTTGGTTGTATGAGCTCCTAATATATTTTGAATATTAACTCCTTGTTGGAGCTGTTGATTGTAACTATCATCTCCCATTCAGTTGGTAGCCTTTTGTTTTGTTGGTGGTTTCTTTTTCTGTGCAGTTTTTAGTTTGCTATAGTCCCATTCATTTATTTTTGCCTTTACTTCCCTTGCCTTTAGGATCAAATTCATAAAATCTTCTGTAAGACCAAGGTCCATGAGTTTAGTACCTGTGTTTTCTCCTATGTAACTTACTGTTTCAGATATTTAGGTCTTTGATCCATTTGAATTAATTTTTGTATATGGGAAAAACTGCAGTCTAGTTTCATTCTTTGCATGTGCTTTCCAATTTTCCCAGCACCATTTATTGAAGAGGCTCTTTTCTCCGTTGTGTGTTTCTGGCTTCTTTGTCAAAAATTATTTGCCCATAAACATGTGGTTTATTTCTGGGCTCTCAGTGCTGTTCTATTGGTCTGCGTATTTTTCTGCCAATACCATGTTATTTTGATTATCTGGCTCTGTAGTATAGTTTCAAGTCAGGTAGCGTGATACCTCTCGCTTCCTCCTTTTTTCTCAGGATTATTTTGGCTATCCAGGGTCTTTTGTTCCATATAAATCTAATGATATTTTCTTCTATTTCATTAAAAATGCCTTTGGGATTTTAAGGGGAATTGCATTAAATCTGCATATTGCTTTGAGTAGTATGGCCATTTTAACTATGTTGATTCTTCCAATCCATGAACATGGTATATCTTTCCATTTCATTGTGTCTTTTTCAATCTCTTTTAATAATGCTTTGTAGTTTTCAGTATACAGCTCCTTCACATCCTTTGTTAAGGTCACATCATTTGTTAAGGTTATTCCTAGGTATTTTGTTCTTTTTGTTGCAATTACAAAAGGAATTGTTTCATTTTCTTTTCCTGAAATTTTATTGTTAGTATATAGGAATGCAGTGGATTTTTATACATTGATTTTGTATCCTGCAACTTTACTGTATTTGTTTATTGTTTCTAATAGTTTTTTTTTTATGGAGTCTTTAGGGTTTTCTATATTCTAGGATCATGTCACCTGCAAAAAGTGACACCGGATTATCTTTTCACCTATTAGATAAATGTACTAGCTATAGAGTTAAGTGAAGTAAAATACCTTTATATCATAACGCAATTTTATTTAAAATTCTCCAAGATACCTATGGAATTTTTGTGTTTTATTCATTAGAAGAACTGTAAACAACATTTTATACAAATATTGAGCAATTCTTTTACAAACATGTTCAGAATTCATAAAACTTTACAAAAACAAAATAAAACAGACCTAGGAAAAGGAAGCAGCTTCAGATCACAGGGATAAAATACCACCCCCATTCCTGAAGCAAAGGCCTCCTCACAGAGGCATGGCCAGGATCCACCACAGTAATAACTCCTACCCCATTTTATAAACACTCACTTCCCAGTTACTAATTTTCCCCTCAGGTTGAAGTGTCAGATGAGATCAAACTGGGAGATATCTGGTAAAAGCCCCACTGGGGTAAGCTGCTTGATTAACATTTAAAAAAAGACATAGGTTCAGTACTATTTTCTGGACCCACCTCTATAGGAATTGTATAGCACCGCTGTTAAATGGTGTCTGCTTCAGATCCACACATGCACACCTGAATGGATGTCATGACAATACTGTACAAGTCAATAAATTGTATCCTCATATAAATTGTAAGGGTTTTTAAAGTTTGAATAAATATTTTTATGCCAGTTAAAACCATCAGCAGGAGTTGAAGAAAACTGACATTTGCTATGACACCAAAGAAAATTGCACCATCACGGACAAATTCCTTTTCCAATCACTACTGCTACTTTAGATATAAAAGGTTGGGGTGATTATGTGGTGTTGTCCCAGGAAATGTTCATATTCTGACTCCAACTTAATTAGAGCAAAAAGCCAAACAATTCTAGGGGAACCAAAAAAAGAGTCTCATCTATACATCTATAGTTTGAAGTCCCTTATCCTCAGAGCTGAGTAGGCTCTGCTACACTTCAGCTTAAAAGAAAACTTCCTCAATAGCTACAATCCCACGGAGCTCAAACTTCCACCTGCAGGACTAACCAACTATCTCTGTGTTCACAAACTGATACTCCTGGCTCTGTTGTGTAACTTTGGACAAGTTATTTAACTTCTTCAAATTCCAGTCTCTTCATTAGTAAAGTGGAGATGCAGATATCTCAGAAAGTTAAAGACAATAAGATGACATGCATACATGTACCACAGTGCATGGCATATGGTAGACACTAAAAAAATAAAAGGTAGTTCTCATGCTCTTGAAAGGGCATTTCCTATTAGTTCTATTCCAAAAAGTTTAATGTTGACACTTGAGGGATTAGCTACTCAAGTACCACACAATGTAGGAGAGGAGCTCCAAGATGTCTACTTTTATAAGATGCTCACCAACAGTATAAATAAATAAGGCTTCCACATAAGTGAGATTCCCCTAGACAGAACATTAGACAAAAAAAGGGGAGAGACTGATACGATAAATATATTTCTAAGCTCAACTCAAACAGCCCATAGGTTTAAAGCTGCCATGGTATTTCAGTGATGAGAATTATGTGTGTAGGGCTAGTGTTCACTACTTCTATCATGCCTCCCTAGTACCTTAAACTCTGCACTTCTCTCATTGTGCTTCTCTTTGAGCTGTTTTTAAAAATTGCAACACCAAATCTTCCCCTTATGAAAGACAAGTGCCTTCATAGGCTAAGCACAAAACAAAGAAGCCCAGGAATCAAATAAGGCCACTTAAGAAAAAACTGGAGGCAGAGTAAAGAGAGCTTTGGTTCCATGACTCCTAGCAATTCTCCAGTGATTACTAAAGCAGCAACAGGAGAATCCTCCTCCAAGAATCTGGCCTGCTCTGTAACCTTTTCAACTTCCAAGGATCTTGTTGAAAACTTCAGGGCATCCTGACTCTTGGGAAAATATTTTCTTTGGCACTTTCTGTCCTATTTAGGATGAGACAGTCAATTGAAGATTTCATTTCTTCTGCAGAAATTTCATTTTACTTCCTAAAGGGAGAAAGAAGTAGAGTGAACTCTCATTAGTTCATTTTTTTTTTTTATTGTACATTATTTAAGCCCCATTGGGGTAAGCTGCTTCATTGACAAGCGGCCCAGGAGTAAGCTGCTATCTCAAGCTATCAGTTGATGTGTTTAACCGCCTCTGCCCCCTGCCCTCCCACTCCAAGTATCTAATTGCAGAGGTAGAAGAGAACGCAGACACCATCTAATCCAGTGGTTTCCGACCCTGTCTATAGGTTAAAATCACCTGGCCTGCTCTGCAGAGATTATAATACTGTACTCAGGGCTGAGAACCACTGATCTAATGTAATCCCATGATATAAAGATGGAACAACAGCCCAAGACATAATTTGTCCCTGGTCTCTCAACTCATTAAGGACAGGGCCTAATTTTAATTAAGGGCATATATTTCAAACACCAACGTAACTACCATAGAATGTAGGATCTTCATTGTTTTGAATAATTAAAAGTTAACAATAATTGAACAGTCATAAACAACCATATTTCTTTATGCAGTGTAAAATTAGAGTCCTGCAGGAAATCCTCTTTGGTTCTGGATGCCCTCTAAGCTGTGGATGGACTTTGGGATGGGGGCGTTCATGAACACCCTAAAATTATATGGGAAATTTGTATGCTCTAAGCATATTTTTCTGGGAAAAAGGTCCACAGTTTTTATAAGATTCCCCCAGGAATGTGGCCTAGAAAAGATGAATAATCATGATATGCAAGTTCTTATATCATAAGGGAGTTTCAAGTGAGGAAAACAGTCCCATGGCAAACTCTGATGGAGAATCTCAACGTCTGAGAAAGAGACTTCTTTTTCTCCAAAACACTTTGGAATTAGAGGTCATGCTTTCTGGGCAGCATATTTGGGGTTTTATTATTGATCAGATTATAAAGCTTTTTGCAATGGGGCGTGTTTACTGCAAAAGCTTTTCTCAGTTACATTTTTCTAACAGGAAAATACAGCAACTCACCAAGACTCCGCAAAATTCTGTTCACCCCACTGGGCTCAGACTCAGGAATCGTCTCCAAATACTGCAGAGCCCGGACCTCAAACAAACCTATGAGGAAAACTCATGTTGGTGAAATTGTCCAATACTCAGGACTGAAAATCAATGAAATAAAACTGAGCTCACAACTATGTACCTCTATAGTTAAAATAACATTACAAAAAATATTTGCCATAATAAACAACTCAGATTTTAAGCCCTTGTGCCTTTATGCTATTTTTTGTTGACATTATTTTCCAACTTTCCAAGTGCTCACTGAATATAAAGGAAGAACTTTATGTGGAAACTGACCTTTCACCCCACTTTTCCGAAGCTCGCGATCCTGGATGAATCCTGCAAACATCTGCGTTTCCATGAAGAGATCCAGGAAGTGGCGAACGCTTCGGGAGGTGTGGGATTTACGGAATGGCTCCCTTTGGAACACACGCTCCCCACGCTCAGTGACAGTCATGTTCAGAGAATAATGTCCCACCAGCTCCACGAAAAACCTGACAAATGCTTCTGATACCAGAGAGTTGAGTGTCACGTCTGCTGCAAAATGAAAGCAAGCCAAGAAATAGTCCTCTAAGTTTTGTGTTTATGGGAACACTGGCTCTAGTGATGAAAGTGGTGCCTAGGAAATCATTGCTTAAAGGAAGGAGACTAAACCTAGGAAAACTCATTCTTAGCTTTCTTGAGCTCTGCATGACCTTCAAAAAGCAAATGGCTTACATTCCTACCTTCAACTTCTTCCCACACATACACTCCTATTACATTACTGATATGCAAAGCCTGGCTTGCATATCTGTGATTTCACTGAAACTGTTCTTTCTGAGGCCACCAGTGAGAACCAGGCAAATTTTATCTGCTTTTCTATTTTTATTCTCCTTCAAAGTCTATGCTGCATTTGTGCTAACCTCCTTCTCAGACTTCTGGTCTCCCACAACTATATGCTCTCCTGATTTCCTCATTCCTCTCCTGCCTTTATGACCAATCAGTTTTCTTTCTTCTTCTCCCTCTTCCTGAGCACGGTCCTCAGCTCACTTCTCAACATTCCTTTCCTAGCTAATCGGCATGGAGATAGAACTAGCTTTCCATGTTGGTAATTCCGAACCTTAGATCTCTGGCTGGTATTTCACCAAAATTCACCTTCTACGGTTTCAGATTGTCTATGGATGAGCATCGTTTTTGGCTGTCCCATTAGCACTTAAATTCCATTTGTCTAAAAGTCACCACATAAGGTCCTTTTGGGAAATTGGTAGAATATGAATTGAATAAACAAACAATGTTCCAAATCATATTTATTAAATTTCTCCATCAAATCAGTTTCTCAACTTTCTCCTTTCATATTGCACCATGATTACTCCATAGTAAATAATTTATTGAGTGCTTAAGGTATGTCAGGCACGGTATTGTGCTTTTTCAAATGTAATCATCCAATGAGGTAGGTATTGTTACTTCCCTTTTACAGATGAGGAAACAGAGAGGCTCAAAACACTCTCTGGAGTCGTCTCATCTAGGACAGTGGAGAAGCTGCCCGACTCCCAGGTCCGTATGCCACAATATGTCGCCTTCCCGGTTCCGGGCTCCAACCTCAGACTCAGCTTAGACTCTTCCTTTTCCTTCCGTATCCAATCAGCCTTTTTCCCCCCTTCACAATGCCTCTTGCTCTTCACCAGGGGCTCCAGCCTGAGCTAGGGATCCGAAACCTGGGTTTAGTCGGCATCCTATGAAGCAGCGCTACGAAGGTGGGCACTTCACTGTACCTCTTATGGCTGCTCGTTCTGTGTCTGTATAATGAGGTGGCTGGTTATGCGATCTTCAAGGTCTCTTCCAGCACTACATTCTGATTTTAACCTAGATTTTTATCTTTTGTTCAACGGACTTCTCTTTCCTGTGCAGCTGAGGATCCATGGTCCATTACTGCTTTTATCATCAACAATTTTACCCCACTTTCCCATCCCCTCCAGTTATTATCCCATTTTTTTCCATTTTGCCACAAAATTTCTTGGAGGAGTTGTTTATAACTGCTGTGCCCACTTCCTTATATGTAATTCCGTTTTTTTTAAAAGAATCGTGTTTTTCTATAACTTGTCTTCCATTCTTTGTTTCTGGTTTAATGTATAGATTTTGTATATTTTGTATATCCTTTCACATGTATGAATATTCATAAGGTCAGCAGGGAGGCGAACAGGACAAAGCTTAAAACAACATCACCTGCATCTCTGAAGCTCCCTGTGCGACAGCCTCTCAGGGGTGTTCTTCCTTTATTCTCCAATAGAGGGCGACGATTGACTGGAACTTGGTGTTTATCATTCCCCTGCTTTATATTAGCTTCACCACACACATACCCAGCCCCAACAACGTACTGTTAGGTTTTGTGTGCCTTGAACAAACAATATAAAACATTATATTCTTCTGCAACTTACTGTTTCAGTCAATATGTGTTTTTAAGATTTCTTTTTAATGTTACACTCTCAATGGACAGTTAGGTTGTTTTCAGTTTTTTGCTATCACATGTAATAGCACAATGAAAAGTGTCATACTTGTTTCCTAGTTATCATGTGCAAAAGTTTCTCCAGGGTATCAGTATAAAAAATCAAATTACTGGGCTGTAGGATATGTACATACACCTTTAACTTTACAAGACGGCACCACATTTTTTCCACAGTGATTGAACGAATTTATACATCCTCACTGACACTTGATATCGTCAGACTTTCTAATTTGTGCCAATGTGGTGGGTATAAAATGGTATCTCACTGTGGCTTTCATTTCTATTTCCCTGATTTTGATGAGCCTGTATGTATCTGTTCCTATTTTTATTGGCCTTTCTTGTTTCCTCTTCCATTCCTTTGTTAGTTATACTTGTTGAAAATGTCTTCATCTACTTTGTAGCTTTTTAAAAAAATTTCTTTTCCATGGTGACCCTTGATGAATGGAAATTTTAAAAATTTAACAAATTAATCAGTCTTTTCCTTTATGGTTTGTGTTCTTGGTGCTACATTTCAGAAATCCATTATTGGCCCAAAACTAGTTTCTTCTATTCTTTCCTAAATATTTTTTGTTTTACTCTTACCATTTAAATCTTTAATTACTGAAATCAATCTTGTGTATAATGTGAGGTATAGATCCATATTCATTTCTTTTCTCATGAAAAAACAGCCGCCCCAGGATTATTTACTGAATGGAAAAATCTCCCCCGCTGACAGGCAGCGCTGGTGCCGACACAACACGTCTCCTCAGGCGTGTGCGCTCTCTGTGTTTTCCATGGCTCTGTTTATTCTGAACCCAAACCAAATGATCTAATTGCTCCTTTGTGACTAACCTTTATGTTTTGTAGGGCAAGTCCTTCAATCTTGTTCTTTTTCAGGAGTGTCTTAGCAGCTCTTGGCACTTTGCACTTCCATTAAAACTTTACAAAAAGCTGAATGGCAGTCCAATTCTCTCTTGAACCTTCCCCAATCCTGCTTTCTTCTCATCATTTAGTTGAATCTGCTGTGACCAAGATCTCCTTCCCATTGGCAAATCGACGGGGCAGTTTTCAGCCTTCATCTTACTTGACCACTTCAGAGCATTAGACATAACTGTTTGCTCTTTCCTTTATGAAACACTTTCTTCACTCAGCTTATACAGTTATCATACTCCTGGGTTTTTTCACACACATTCTCCTGGTTTTTCTTCTGCTTCACTTGCTGCTCTTTTTAGTTTCTTTTGCTGGACTCTTCTCCTCTCCCCAACTGCTGGAAATCTAACCCCACCATTCCCACCAACCCAGGGCTCAATCCTTAAATCTTTGTCATTTTCTGAATCTGTACTCACTCATAGGGTTATCTCATCTGTTCCCACAGCTTTAAAATAGCAACTTCTAAATGTATGTCTCTGGGCCAAACCTTTCCTCTGAATTCCAAGTGCATGTCTATGAAAGCTTACTTGATATCGCCAGGTGGATGTCTGCTAGGTAGTGGATGTCTAATGGGTACCTCAATATTAAAAACTGAACTTTTAATTATTCCTCTAAACCTGTTCCTTCCTTACTGTTCCCCATCAGCAAATAGCCTAGTGTTCCTATCTGTAAAATGGTTAATTAAATAGTGACACTTGCTTCCTAAGGATATTACAAGGATGAAATAAGATGTAAACTAGGTGCTCAGTACAATGCCTGGTACGGAGTAAGCCACCCTATAATTATTATTCACCCATTTATTCAACAAATGCTGAGTATCTGTATACCTATTGAATGCCGTTGAGAGCACTGGAGATGGAAAACAAAACAGTCACTGTTCTCATGGGACTTAGATCCTAGCACATCAGATGATGATGATAAAAGCTATGGAGAGAAATATGGCTGGGGAGGAAATGGGTGCAATTTTATTTTATTTTTTTAAATTTTCCTTTAGAATAGTCTGAGTTTTCTAAGTGCTTTTCATTCATTTGTTTTATATTTTCAGATTCCACATATAAATGAGATCATTTGGTATTTGTTTTGCTTTGATTTATTTCACTTAGCATAATACTGTCTGTGTCTACCTGTTGTAAATGGAATGGTATTATTGCTGAGTAATATTCCGTTGTGTATAGACACATCTTCTTTGTCCATTCATCTGCCAGTGGACATTTAGGCTGCTTCCATATCTTGCCTATTACTAGTAATGCTACAGTGAACATAGGGGTGCATACACCTTTTTGAATTAGCGTTTTTTGTTTTCTTTGGATAAAAACCCAGAAGTGGAATTGCTGGGTTGCATGGCAGCTCCATTTCTAGTTTTCTGAGGAATCTCCACACTGTTTTCTGTAGTGGCTGCACTAATTACAATTCCACAGGATGGGACACTCGCAGGAGGGCTCACTGAGACAGTGGCCGTTGAGCATGGGAGGAGGAGCAGGAGCTGGGCGGCGATCGGGGGAATGCAGCCCGTAAGAGGGCCTGAGCAAGTGCCAAAGTCCCGAGATCAACGGGGACCCGCACGGCACAGGCACATCAGAGGGTCGGTCAGCAGGGCGGCTGGCGGTAAGCTTTCCCAGGCTCACACTCTCACACTCCCTCCGCGCACCCGTCAACAGGGCCCTGGGCATCACTGCCTCGGCTCTAAGTCCCCAGACCCCGTCACATACCTTGTGTAAAGCTCTGCTCCTGAGCCAAAATCTCATTTCGTTCTTCCAGAATCTGCATTAAGGCAGCCTGGAGTTTTGGTGGTAAAATTTCATCCTCATCAGATACCTGAAGAGAAGAAATGGAAATTTTTCATAAGCTTTGAGAAACATGCACTAGTTAGGGCCCCCAAATTCCCCAAGTGACGTTGGCTGAAGAGCCTGAAGCTCCTTTTCCTACACTGAGCAGAATCCATGATGCTTATAATGTATACATCTTAACTATATTAAATAAATAACATACTTATAAAATTTTCTGGCAGTTTCTACTGAACAATTCTCATCTACGAGTCTCATTCTATGTTACAAAGATCATCCCTAAACAAATGGTGTTTCAAATGTGAGGAGCTAAGTGATTCTGAAAAACGACAAAGTCTCGGGCAACATTCTTTCAACCCTGCATTCAGTTTTCACGAGCCTATGCAGTTTACAAACAGAAGGCTGCTCTAAGAAGGCTTTACGAATGCGCCCTTCCACTTTAATACAGAGAAGAAACGACCACTTCTTTTTGGCCCCTACAGTAGTATACCTTGTATAAATTTCTATTGTACCCTTTCTAAAACCTTATGTGTACATCTGTACCCCCTTCCCACCATTAGACTATAAGGCCTAAGGGCTCAAACTGTGTCTTAATCATGTTTAAGTTCAGAGTATCTGGAAATAGTTTTCAGCGCTTGTTCAATTTAATTAAATTAGAGGCTTAGACGCCAATCCATCTGGACTTGAAGGGAAGGTTGCTTCAGCTGAGAATGACATTTATCTGCTTCCTCCTTCCTTCTTTGGGAAACACAGCTGAACCCAAGCCAAATCTTTCAGGTCAATCTTGTATGAGCAGCCACTGTGTCAAGTCAAGTATGCATAGGAATGAAAAGTCTCATCTGAGTCATTTTCTCTAAGTACTTTCACATATTTTCTGTCTAATTACCCCCAAATGTTATGTAATCGCCTCCTTTGTCACTCACCTCCTGCAAGAACTTGTCTGCACAGAGATCGACGATCAGCACCTATGGGACAAAGGAGCCAGGCAAGTTAAACCAGAGGCATTCACAAAGAAAAAGATGAGGCACTGCTGGGTCAGAAACGGTGTTTTGATTCTTTCAAGCAATGGGAACAGTTTTCAACAAATTAACTTAAAGTTATAACCTATTTAAAAGTTAACTCACCAACACACCAACAAATAAATTGCAGGAAAAAGAAATGATGGCAGACATGCCTGTAGATTAAAAGATTAAAAACACACCAACCAAATACAATGTGTGGACTTACTTGGGACCTGTTCAAACAAACTATTAAAAATTTATGAAATAATTGGAGATTTGATCCTAAATTTTACTGATATTAAGAAATTGTTATTGAATTTTTAGGTGTAATAATGGTATTGTGATTATGTTATAGATTTATTTTGTAATATTTAGAGATGAAATTATGTCATAATCTGCTCAAACTATGTGAGAGAATGGAATGGATAAAGGTGAATATTGGCCATAACTTCATAAGGGTTAAACTAGAGTGACTGGGTTTATTTTGCTCTTTTATTTAGTTTTACGTATTTTCAAAATTTTCCATTATAAAAGTTTTTTTTGAAAAGATTCATCAGTTGTGTTTCCATACATTAATGACAAATCATCTAAAAAAGAAATTAAGAAAACAATCCCTCCCTGATTGGCGTGGCTCAGTGGGTTGGGCATCGTCCTGCAAACCAAAAAGCTGCTTGTTTGATTCCCAGGGCATACGCCTGGGTTGTGGGCCAGGTCCTGGGTTGGGGGCATGCGAGAGGCAACCACACACTGATGTTTCTCTTCCTCCCTTCCCCTCTCCCTAAAAATAAACAAAATCTTTAAAAAAAAAAATTAAACCACAACGAGAATGCCACTACACACCCACCAGAGAGGCTAAGTTACGCAGACTGACGATAACAAGTACTGTTGGTGAGGATGGGGAGTGATAGGAACTCTTTCACACTGTTGGGGGTAGTTTAGCTTGACACAACTATGTTGGAAAACAGTATGACTTTATTTACTAAAGTTGAAGACATATTTACTCTATGACCCAGCAACTCCATTTCCAAGTATATACCCATAGAACTGCATGCACATATGTACCGAGGGTCATGTACAAGAGTATCTATAGCAGTGTTATTCATAATAAGCACAAACTGGAAACAACTCAAATATCCATCAACTGTAGGATGGATAGTTGTACATTCATGAAAAGAATACTGCACATAATTAGGAAGATTGAATTACTGTTAAACTCATCAACATGGATGAATCTTACAGACATAATGTTGATCAAAAGAAACCATTCAAAATTATATTTATATATAAATTATAATAATATATTTATATATAATTATATAAATATAAATAAATATAGATAGATGATAGATAAATAGACAGTATACATCCATTTATATCAAGCTTAAAACCAGGCAAAATGGAACTATGTTGCTTTGGGATACATGCCTAGGATGTACCGCTATAAACTAAAACAAGTACATAAACACCATAAAAGTCAAGATAGTGACTATCTTCGGCTGGGGGTGGGGAAGGGAACAGTGACTAGAAGGAGGTGTGCCGGGGACTTCTCGGGGGCAGGTGTGTTTCCATTCTATTCAGTGTTGTTTATATAAGCAACGCTGTGATAATTCACTGGGCTGTACATTTTGTTTTGGGCATTCACCTGTGCACTATATTTGAAACAATTTGTTAAGCTAACCCAGAGTAGTTTTTATGTGTGACTTAAAAAATGACAAGAATGAGCCCATGGTTCACTATTATAAATAAGTTACATGTGTATTATAAATTCATGAGTACTATGGGAATTTTGTCACTTTAATAAAAAGATACAAAAATATGATAGCATGAGGCACTAATAACAATGGCATCTTAATATGAATTAAGAGCTCCATCGCTCTGAAAGACCACTGCGTCCACTCGTCAGCGCTGCAGTCTCTCCCGGGGAACGCCCTCCTCACCTCCTCGATGGGCAGGTCCTGAAGCTGCGGCAGGGAGCAAGACAGGATTCCAATCAGGAACGGTGTGGGCGAGCACACGATGTCGATCATCGACGCTGGCAGGACCGGGATGTAGGTGTGCTGCCAGGTGAACGGATACAGTGTGGCGACCACGGCATGGCCGCATTTTGACAGGGTGCTAGCCCGGGGAGGAAGCAAATCGCGTCACACACAGCACAGTGCATGGGAGGCATTTCAGATGTTATGTGAACAGAACTACAAATTAATGCCAGTTAGTGATCACAGATGGACAACTCTGTGATTGCTCTTAAATTGTTAACATTTAACTTAATTTACTGAAAATCTTTAATCTCAATCCAGCTCTTCCTTCCAATTTATGTTACTAAAAATTAGTGTGTACTTAGAAAAACAATGTCAATTTTTAACAGTTTAAACAAAACACACTTAGAAAGGTAAGTTAATTGCAACACCCAAAGGCATTGCTATAGCCTAGTCCACATAGGTTTGGGTCGTTTACCATTTGGAATTATCCATGTCACTAGGGCATTAGGTAACTGATTGAGATCCTACAGTTTTTTAATATGCCCAAATTTAAAAATAGTCAAAACATGTAAAACACAAGTAGGCAGTGGCATATTTTACTTATTTCTCACCTTAGGCTGTTGGCAACAAAGATGACCCTTCGCTCCAACAGGAGAGAGGCACAGACCCGGATGAGGTGACACACGCTCAGGCACTTAAACAGACATTCAAAGTCCACGTGTTCCAGTCGGGAATCCAGGGGTCGGCAGAGTTCAATGGACTGAAAAGCAGGAATTTGAATGAGGGGAGCTGATGCAACCCTCATGATAGCACTAATGGATCTTGGGTCTGCTACAAAGAGTTGGTGAAGCTGCCTGCCCTAATCCCAAGACTGATCGTCTTATTTTTTAGATTTTGTGAATTTCTGATAAAATCCTTTATCTCACCTGACAACAGCATTATAATCTTCATCTATCACAATTTATCATAATGTCTGAAATTGCCACTACAAAGGGGCCACACTGGATGTTCCTCCAGTGCTTTGTGGGACTAAAACATCCTGCACAGGTTAGGGAGAAGCGGAAACCACGCCCTGAGGCTTCTGCCAACTGCCTGCCCCCCCCACGCCCCCGCCCCCCCCCCCCGCCCCGGCTGCATTCTGAGGCATTCTGGCGGCCCCAGACCTCCCACTGAGCTGACTGACCTCGTCTCCGGCGCCAGGGAGGTAGCTCTTGACTGTGATGGTGCGGCCGGGGGCGGGGAAGGGAGCCTCCATGACGCTTCGCATGAAGGGGTAGACCAGAGCTGGGGACATCTCCCTTCTCTTCTCCACCTCATCCAGAATCTATACACAGGAAAGAGGTAGCTCATTAGGAACTCAGTTCAAAAACATAAAAGAATCCTATCAATGAACCGCCAAACTTGGTGCCCAAACTTAAAAAATAACACCGACAGATTTGAAGACAAGTAAGCTTCAGCCACCCATGAAAGTTCACTAAAGGCATCATATGTCTTGGGGGTATCTTTACATCCCTGAGAAAAGTTATTAAAATAAATCAACTTATTTTTAGAAGAGGAGCCCCCTTTCATTTCACTAAAGGAGGGGCAAAGAAGGTGACACTGACAATGACATCCTGCAGTTTGGGGCCTGGGAAGGACGAGGCAAGATAAGCTTCAGGCTCGGTTCTCCTTTACGCCGGGGGGGGGGGGGGGGCGGCGGCGGGGGGGGGTTCGGCAAACCAATGTAAGGGGGACAGGGCACCGGCGTCTGCAGTAGAGACCTCAGCGTGCGCCTTCAAACTGAGGCTCTAACCTGCTCCCGGGAGCCCATTCGACAGCAGGGTGCTAAGGCCTATGCCCCTACACTGCTAGTGGCGTCATCAGAGACCTATTGGCACTCAGAGCTCAGAAAGGACACTGCTGTCACAGGGAACGCTCTCCACTCACCTTTGAAAACAGGTTGAAGCAGCCTAGGCGACTGACCATGCAGTAAACCTCAGGGAGCCGCTTCCCTTTGCCTTCTGGCTAAAAGAAAGAAAAACCGACAAAGCAAAGCTTAAGCAGAGCACGTTTTTATTAAACTGTACTATTAATACTCTCCTAATACTTTTTAATACAGAGCCGAAATCAAAGTTCTCCTCCTCACTGAACACTGAAAGATGGGAAAATACTAAACAATGATAGCATACTTATTCTAGGTTTAGTGGAGGCATTCAACCAAGAAGAGAGTAACTCCAGGCTCTCTTGATTGGCTCGTGTACCCCGTTCCTCAGACATATCCAGACTGATGCAGCCCTGTTTCAGTGGTTTCTTTCTCTATTTTACACACACACACACACACACACACACACACACACACACACACACACACACGCCCGCCTCCGGTGGCTACCCCAACCTCGCTCCTACTGTGAAAGCTAACATAGCTTCTTGAGCACACAGATCGCCGAGTAGCCCTTAAATGCATCTGGAGATGGTGTTTCTGAAGTTCCCTGTGCGCCTCCGTTGTCCCCTGAGCAGCCCTGCCTGCAGCACGAGGTGGAACTTACCAAAAGCTTCTTACAGTAGCCGAACCACCGGCTTCCATCTTCACCAGTTAGGACAAAGGAGAACGTTTCACTGAAACAAACAGGAACTAGTTTAAGATCCAAACAACTATTTATGGCATTCCTCATGGAACAAAAAATGGAACATTAGGGTCTTAACAGCAGTCACTTTGTGCTGTAAGAAGCAGCATTAATATTACACTTATTGCAAGTCACATTGCTCCTGAGGCAGAAAGTCTAAGCCTTGAGAAGGTCTTGTCTTGCACTGGAGCGAGAGCGGAGGTATAGGACGAGTTGACAGCACTGTTGCCTCCTTTTACTTTCTTATTTATACAGTCTAGCTATTCATCAAGCCTATTTTCCCTTTGTTGAATGTACAATTTAGTCAAACATGTTGGGAAGCAATAAATGATTGTGATAAGCTATTTTTCCCTTCCAGATTCTTCTGTTTTAGTTCTGGAAGGTCATATGGAACAGTGATGGGCAAAGGATAGTATCCTTAATATATTAAAATTAATAGGAAAATCACCAATTCCTCATTAGAAGCACAGGCAAAAGATATGCAAAGATACTTTATGAGAAGACGACCTAAAGATGCCCAAGAAATGAGTTCACTAATAATAGAAAAGACCAGGCAGTAGTCCTCTCTGCCTTTGGTTTTCATTGGTACACTTGTGTAATAAGAAAGTGACCTATGGATCAACATTTTAGAAACTGCAAATACAAGTTTGAATGTAAAATTTAAAAAGTAATTAAAAAATTCAACCCTGACTGGTATGGCTCAGTTGATTGGAGCATCACCCGATAGACCAAAAGGTCGCAGGTCTGATTCCCAGGCAGGGCACATACCCGGACTGCAGGTTCGCTTCCCAGCTGGGGTGTATATGAGAAGGCAACCGACCGGTGTTTCTCGCCCACATCGTTGTTACTCTCTCCTCCTCCCACCCCCGCCTCACTCTCTCCCTTCCCTTCTCTCTAGAAGCAATGAAAAGATGTCCTCAGGTGAGGATAAAAAACTAATTAAAAGTCCAAATTTGCATAAATACATATGTCCATATACGGCCAAAATTAAAGATTGAAAGGGAATATGCCAAAGTATTTATAGTGATTATCTGTGAGTAACCAAATGCCAGTGATTTCTAATTTCTGCTTTTTATTTACTTCTTTGTACTTTCTGGAATATTCTAGAATAAACACACATGACTTGTTTGGGCAGGGGTGGGGTGGGGGTGGACATGACTTGTTTGGGCAGGGGTGGGGTGGGGGTGGACAACCACGATCAGCCAGGAAAACACTAAGGAACGCACAGCCCGCAAGGCGGGCAGTGCAGCTGCCAGCACAGAGCGCCGGGACTGGCGGCTCCGAGAGAGCGGGGCGATCCAGCTAAACTGGTCACGGGAGGCAGCGGCTTAGTCTGGAGGCAGCACAGAGTGGGAGGGCAGGGCCGCTTAGGCAACAGCTGAGGCTGTCTTCCAGCAGGTCATCAGCATGTGAGATGGTTCACATAATCACGCTTCTCAGTCCCAATAGCGTGATCGACGATTGCAGCTTTGAGCAAAGCCGTTACTGATTCACAAGCAGGATTCACAGACAATGACAACTTATTAATGAAATATGGTATTTTTTTCTAGCTACCGGGGAAAAAATCCTTTATACCTTCCCTCTCAGGATACTCCACATCCTAAATGGGAACCTCCCTTTGTACAGGTCCAACAGGGGCACATGCAGTCTCGGCTGTAGCTTCCACCCACTTGAAGGAGAAGCAAGATATGGGCAGTGCTCTGCTGTATCTGTTCCTATCCCTAAGGTCAAGTCTTTTCCTTTTCTATCCACTTGGTGGCGTTTCTGATTGTACATACAGTGGAATTCATTTCCCTACAGAACTGGCAAAATGAAGAGACTCTCAACAACTCGTTTTCCCTTCGATATTGACATTATTCCATGTTTTTCTTTTTTGAGCCCCTCAGAGGAAATGTTCTAATTCTGCTTCTCCCTTTCCTCCCACGCACCCTTGACCCGCCACAGTCCACAGAGCTTCATGCCGGCTCAGCCCACTTCTCAAGCATTCTGATTTTACTTTTGCATTTCCAACAAACAGAAATCAGACAAAGTAGCCTATTTACCTCTTGAGTTCTGAGGTTGGAGCCCAGTCCTTTGAATCAGGAAAGCAAAATTTGGGGATAACTTTGAGCCTCTCCTCAGTGTCCTTGGATTGCTTAAAGCCATGATCACCCTGAAAAAGATAACAATGCAGGTGACCCATATTCTGTGTAAATGGAGAATAGAAATAGAAAAACTCAGCCTGGTCTTGAGAAAAGAGGTCTCTGAGAAGCCTAAGGAGTCACCTCAGCATAGTTTTGTGTAGTTTAACAAAGGAGGAAGGCCAAAACTCGTAATCACTGACGATATACTGAGAACAAAGTTACTGAGAACAAAAAATCCTATTTTTACATAGAAATGGTATTGCGGAGATCCTATAATCTGATGTAAGAGAGATAACTAAACATGGAACATAAAACAAATTAAAAAATCTATTCTGTAATGTACTGATAGCAAATACCTCGTCAGCTCTAGACACTCTCTGATCAATAATCAGAGATGTTTTGAAAAGGCAGATGAATGTTGTTCAGAAAAGAAATTTTTAGAATCCACCTCATATATAATCATTCCCCTTAGCATGTAATCTTCGCTTCCTAATTACTGGTTTTCCACTTCCTGTAAAATTTTAGCATGGAAGACCCTTTTGTTCAAGTCTGGTATTGAACTTTAAAGGACAGTCTGAGTTTAGTTAAACTAACAGACACTGAAAAATTAGTATTAAAAACAAGCAGATGATAAGCCTAATTACCATACTGCCTTCATGTAACTAATATAAGTGCTCTATCCCTTAATTTCTAAAGCAAAACACACAACCATTCTGGGCCACTTGGATATTAAATCCTTAAGAAATGGAAAAGCATTCTAACAATATTTTAGTTGTACCACATTCTAGTATTTTTATATTGTTAAATGACTCATAATCATCTTCAAAGTTTCCTACAATAAGATCAAGAGGGCCTCGGTCAGCTCTTCCCCCACTGACTTATGGATGCTCCTGCATCGCTGTCCCTGCGTCCCTGCCCGAGTCAACCGGACCCGTATCTGATTCTGAACCTATTAATTCAAGCTGTGTTGAAAACAGGTTCAACCTCAAGATTTCTCTCTGCAAATATAAGACTGATCAAAAATAGGGGAAAAAATTAAGCTCCTCTTTATGGAAAACTCGATTCCTCAAGACCCTATATTACATTATTTTAGACTCCAGTGGTACTATGTTACTAAGCAGGGCCATGACACCATGCTCTCAGACTGCAGTGAGGAATTTTATAAAAAATTAAACGGACTTACTTATAATGGGGGTGTTGTTGAGGATTTCCTTCTAAAATGAGAATCCATACAGGAAATGTCTCTTAGAGTCCAGTACCACTGTTCTTCACTAGCTTTTTTACTGAAACTTATAACTCGGGGTTCTAAACCCGAAGTCCTAATGGGGCTGAGCAGGTAACCTGAATGAAAGAAGTGCCCCAAGGAGTAAGCTGGAGAGTGAGCAAGCACCCCCATTTAAGGGAATCACGCCTCGCCAGGGCCAGCTCCATCATCTGCAGGGCAGTGTGAGACGAGCCGTGAGCCCCTTGTTCCAAGGGCAGGAAAAACAAAACATGTGATAAAGTACAACACTTTTTCATCTGTGGTCTTTCACCCTGTGATGGGGTTTTTATTTGCCGGCACCAGGAGCCAGGGGCCAGTGCAGACCCTCACAGGCGCCCTGGGGGCCTGGCCCACACTCCCGTGTGTGAGAGGCCACCAGCTGCTGGGTTTCCAGATACAGAACTGAGACTGGGTCGTGACTGGAGGTGAGGAGGCTAAGCCAGACACCTCGCCTTCTCCCAGGCCCAGGACTCTGGCCCGCAGTGGCTGGGCAACCCTCAGGGGCCTACAGCCTCCACACGGCGATGTGCTTGCTACCTGGACTCGGCGGGGGGGTGGACGTTCTTGCCCCATCAAGGCACCCACTGAACATGAGAGGCACTGCCAGCTCAGGCCAGGGAGGGTCTCACTATGTTGCCTAGACATGCTGTGGGGCAACGCTTGCCTGGCCCCAACCCTCTCCATGCCTGTTCCCAAGTCCCTGTCAGTAGTCACTGAGTGGGGACAGAAGCGGGGAAGTCAGACAGGGCGCAGGAAACCAGGGGGCAGAGGAGAGGACAGGCAGAGAATCATCCTGGAGAGGTGGCAAGAGGTGAGAGCTTGCATGAACCAAGGATTTAAGACCAGGCACATGCCTCCTTGTCCCATCAGACCTCACTCATAAAACACAGATTCAAAGACCAACTAAGGACTGCGGTGGTGGCTGCAGGGCATTACATGCCCAGCACAGGGCCCTTCCGAGTGAGGGGCCTGTGAGACAGTGCCGGTCACACGGCCATGCACGCAGTCCTGGCTACTCCGCGTCAGTCCATTCCCGCCACTGGGGAATGCAGGCTGCATGCTGGTGGGCTTTCCAGTCTCTCAGGAGACAGCAGAAATACAGATTTCTATGTGAAAGTTGACTTTGAAACGCTGGCAACAAATCATTTATTGTTATTTTTACAAAAACACTACCAAACCACTGTCTGCGGGCTCAGCTCGCTCGGAGGCCACCAGTGTCTCTCGGTTGGCATGTGCCGCTGCAGGGCTCCAAGCCACACGTGAGGTCTGAGTTGCAAGCGAGGTGAGGGCGGGGCCGGCAAGGCCTTTTCCAGTTGTATATCCCATGCCTAATATCAACAAGGAGTAGGTATGTGAGAAACATTTGGTGAAACGAATGAGTGAACCATGTTTTGAAAAAGGCAGAGCAAACCAAAGAGTGTTGTTAATCTTGGCTAGCCTTCACCAGGAGCCTACTATGTGCCAGGAACTGCGCTTTACACACGTTATGTCGTTGAATCCCCACTAATGTGACTCATGTTATATAGTGCTTACTAAATGCCTGGCAGGGCTCTAAGGGCCTTACACTGTTCCCTTAGTCCTCACTGCAACTCAGAGGGGTGGACACTATTATGATTAGCTCCACTTGACCAATGAGGAAATGAGGAAACGTCACAGAGCTAGGAAGCGGCAAATGCAGACAGCTGGCTTAGGTCTGTGCTCTAAGGTACTAGCCTGCTCTGCCACACTGATTATTCCCCTCATTAAGGAAGGGAGGCTTTGTAATTTGCAAAAGGTCGCTTAGTAAACAGCAAAAAATAAGTAAAGAGCAAAAAAATAGAAAACAAACTTGGATAATGAGCTCTTTTCCCCTTCGCTTGCAGCTCCTGCCTGGTGTAAGATGTCATCAGAGTCACTGAGCAGGCCCTACAAGAAGTACAGCACTACTAAGAGCTGACTGAGAGAGCAGTAAAGGAGAGGAGGCAAAACAAGTGCGCACAGAGACACAGGAACACTCGCGATGCCTCTTGGCCTGCTGGCACCCACCTTGCCAGGGAACTGCTGTATGACCTGCGGAACGTAGCTTGTGTCGGATGGCTTCTTTTGCAGAGACACCACCACAAAAAGTTCAAACAGCTGCTGCTCCTGTAATTCAATGAGATCGCGCTCTAAGGTCTGGTAGTGGGGGTTCCTCTTGGAAGACTGCTGCAGTTGTGCTAAGCGCTTGTGGCGATCTGCAATGACATCACGGAGCCTTGGTTTTCCTTGGTGGCCCTAGCTTCCCTCTAGCACCCACAGGTCACAACCCCTATGGGACTAATCTTCATCAGTCATTGCTGAATACATGCTGACTAACCAATGTCTGTCACACAGACGTATCTGTTAGGGCTATGACATGCTTGAGGGTCAAGGGTAGATTCTCATAAGCATCTTGGGGCCCTCTGTTGAGACTGATGCTCTGTGTCCCAACTGATACGGTAAGTCCCAACACATGACTCTATGCTATCCCATCTTGGATGGCACAACACCAGTACACACAGAACATGTCAGGCAAAAGCACTGGCTTGACAAAATATGTCACTGTTGGGAACATGACGTCATGGGGACACGGAGGAAGATCTGATAAAAGAACTGAGTCCTAAAGGGGGCAAGTGCATAAAGGGATGAGTTTGATAAAATTTTGTTTTGAGCCCTGGTTGGTGTGGTTCAGTGGATGGATCGCTGGCCTGCAAACCAAAGGGTTGCCGGTTTAGTTCCCTGACAGGGCACATGCCTGGGTTGTGGGCCAGGTCCCAGGTAAGGGGCATGCAAGAGGTAACCACACATTGATGTTTCTCTCCCTCTTTCTCCCCGCTTCCCCTCTGTCTAAAAATAAATGAATACAATCTTTAATAAAATTTTGTTTTGATAAAAACTATCCTCACATGAAAGAAACTATTCTTTCCTTTTTCTCTTTGGCACATCTTTCTAATAAAGGACATGCGCTTATATCAATGAATGATGCTAAATGCAAGAGGAAAAAAATGGAAGTAGAAGAAAACATCATTAATACACTATTTCTCAAAAGAATGAAATTATGGAGGCGTACTATTTAAACAATACAAGCAAAACTACTCAAAACTGGAAGCATTTATGCTTTACCCTCACTTATGTCCAACTATGAATAATTTGGGGTCATCTCCACTAGGGAAATGGGGCACTTGCAGAAGCAATGGTCCAGGTGGCCCAGAGACATGCCTGTGTGTCATTTTGTGCCAGTGACAGAAAGACTCATCCTCTGACTAATTGTTTTTTTTTAAGTAGGATGCATTCCGCCCCCAAAAGAGTTACACTACGAATCAAAAATATATCTAGGAGTGGCTCCCCAGAATTATCCAGCACATTTCGTGCTCTAGGTAAAGTTTTACTTATCCCAAAGGGCTCAGTTCAAGTCAAGACAATTTTAGGTACTGTTTCTCAGCAGCAACAGCACTAAATTAGTCATCTGTACACATCCCGACTGAATCTGATGCTGACTTAAGTTTCACCTTCAGTCAGGCTACAGAATCGAACACCTGAAGCAATTCAGGCCAGTGGAGGGAGCACCTGACTGTTAATCATAAGATCAGAGTATCAGACTTGGAACTGCTCTGCACTCAGCTTTGATTATTCATGTCTCCTACTTTTTCCATGCCTCACATGCCAGTCGGTTAAACAGGAACTAAACAACTTGCTGAGAAAATCCATTAAAGAAAAGATATCAAGCACCATGAAGTATTTGAACAATACTGCCAAAAATGCACAGCATATTTTATATTCTAACAGAAAGTAAATGGCAAAATAATCTGGAATATAAATGCCCCTGAATGAGAAAGATCAATGTTTTCTGTGTCAATGTCAGAGATATCAAAGTTCCTTAATTACACTCAAGCGTATGAAAAATCAGATATTTAATGCCAAGTATTTGTCTCAGGGGATGATTCATACATACTCTATTTTGGCTGCCGGGAAATTTCTACACATACGTCTGAACAAGCAGCTCTGCCACTCCCTTAAGAACATTCCATCTTAAGAACCATATGGGTTTGCCTCATTCCACCATGGGAGATTTCTAATGCCGTCAGACACCTGACAGCGTGCTACTTAGTTCCCCAAATCTCAACAAGTTCTTATAATGGAGAAATCACCTACAAAATGAAACTTCATGTGGGAAAAACACGCCTAATCACAAAGGCAGGGGCCACTCCACCGATACCCACGATCATCTCGAGAAAGGGAGCAGCCCATTGACTCACTCACTCTTTGGCAGATACTCGGCATCACTTTCGTTCCCACTGGTTTCACCTGAAAAGAGAGAAGCAGTTTCCATTTGTACCGTCCAACGGTAGGAAGTACGTGAGGGTGAGAATGCCGTGAAACCTCCGCAGACCTGCAGACCCGGAGTAAGGATGCTGAGCCTGTCTCCCACCGCTTAGTTCTATCAGGGTAGGACGGTCACAAAAGAGAACAGAAGGCGCAGAGAAGAAACTGCTCGTTCCATCTTCTTCCCACGCCCTCTCCCCTCCTCAGCTCCCCTGTCCTCTCTAATCCCAGCCATTAACAGCAGTTCAGACTAGTTTTAAGAAGTCTAGTTTGGAGTGGCTTCTGTTTCTACATGCATATCCTCATCTTTTAAATTCCTGACCAAGGTATCAGAGGCAGAACACCAAACTGACTGAGCAAAAATCTCAGCACACAACCAACTATGAATTTAGAATAATAGGAAAATGTTGGGTTAAGAGGGGATACTTACCAAAGAAGTCTATGAAGAAAAGGGGTAACTCTTTTGTGATACCTCTAAGCTGCCTCTAGGCCAGACAGTACTCTTTTACTTCGAATTCTTATAGTATCAGACTGCTTTAAATTGTTCTTATTTTTCCCATACAGATTTTAAATTTCTTGAGAATAAGCATCTATGCTTTTACAAGGGGGTGTTTTAGAAGTGAATGGCAAATTTCTAGATTAAGTCTGAAAAGTTAAAGCAAAATGAAATAAATGTAAAGAACGGGAAAAATTTTAAATGTAGCAGGAAAAACAAGGCCTATGGAGTCATAAATAAAGGAATATGTACATTTGATTATATAAAAACGTAAAATTCCTGTCAAATAAAACCATCACTAATTCAAAAGGTGAACAATAAGCTGGGAAAATCTTTGTAACACACACTGCGGATGCAAGGCTAAGTGTCTAAATATTAAAAACACTGTTACAGATGAATAAGGAAAAAATATAGCGCAACAGAAAAATGAATAAAGGGTAGAAACAGGCAATCCACAGAAAAAGATTTATAAATGCTGGTAAACATCATCATTATTATTGTCCAAATTTGTAATTTTAAAAATGTAAATTAAAATAATAAGTAAGGTACAATTTTCAATCATGATAATGGCAAAAAGAAAAAGCTTTAATAAAACACAGTATTAGTGAAGATGTGGAAAGTTATTTTCAAATGCTGTTCACAGAAACGTAAAGTATTACAATTTGTTTGTGGGACAACCTGGCAGCAGCTATAAACATTTTAAATGCATGTATTTTTTAATTAGTCTCACTTCTAGAAACTTATTCTACAGATATAGTCTTACCAATATACAAAAATATAAGCAAAAGATGTATAATGCAGCAGATATATATAAATATAGATGTTTAAGATAGAAATATTTTATACACACACACACACGGAACTTAAATATCCATAGGTTAATTAAAATGTTAAAAACCAAAATGTCTATCAGATAAATAAAACTCTCTTATTTCACAAAGAAATACAGTACAGCTCTGTGTATCTAAAATATATCAATTTTTTTTAAAGCAAGATATATAAAGTCTGATATAAAACTATACTATTTGGGTAGACAAAAATATCTGCATGTGCATACAATTTTCTGGGAGTAAGAGGTTTGGGGAAATTTGGTTTCTCATTTTATGTTATTCTATAATATTATAACTTCTTGCTGTGCTCATTTTAATTTATAATAAGGAATAAGAAAACGTTATTTAATAAAAACTGCCTGTTCATAAGCTAGGTGGGAAAGGTACGTAAGAGATGTTACAGAAAAGGTATCTATTTAAATATTATGTATTATATATGTTTGTAACTTCAAAATAACTGCCATGACCAAAAGTATCCTGGGGCTATGAAACACTGCTTGGTATGAAGGAACAAAAGCTGTGAGCTCACGAGTCCCATTGTATCCTTAGGATCAGGCACCTTTTGGTAGACTATGAAGTGTCTGGAAAGAAAGAAAAGAAAGGGGAAAAGGAGGAAAGGTAGTATGACTGGAAAAGACCTTATAAAAGATCATTTAAGTGTCTTGCATTCTGAGACACTGAATGAAGGCTTAAGGGTTTGCAAGCCAACAGGAAATCTACTCACAATCTGCAGCGATCAAAAAAGTACTAGGTTGGTCCTTTTTTATACGTGACTTCAACCCACAGAATTATAATGACAGAATTGGAGAATGGTACTAAGTCATTCTATAATGCCTAATAACTGAAACTTGAGAAATGTTTAGGTTGGAATAGATTTAGTGAAGCTTAGCATGTACTAACAGAGTAGGTCAGTGTAATTCTCTGGTTCTACTAGGCATTGTTGATAAACAGACAAAAGCTTAAGGAGGAAAATAAGAAACTGAGGACAGTGCCTATGGAGCCAAGAGATCCCCAGGCATGAGAGAAATTCCTCTGGTCCACTGGCGTCGCTGGGCACAGAGACTGGGTAAATGCATGTTTTCTTTGAGTCACGCCCGCAAAAAAAATCTTGTAGGGAAGGGTTACAATTTAGAGACTGCTTTGTGCATGTGGTATGTGGTAGAAGTTGGTAACTCATGCTGCTGAATTTTTTTCTTTTCAATAATGACACAGTGAAAAAAGAATTTGGCTCTTCAAACACTTGTCTTAGAGCCAAACTTACTAAAATGTTCCTAGTCCATAAGGCATGAAGCATATATGTAAGAGATCAGTATTAACCTACTTAGGGTGCCATATCTGCAGAGCGCAGTTATCAGTAGGCTGCTGTTAATCTGGGGAAATGATGATGTTCTTTTATTCATTTTTTAATTTTCTTCTTTTATTATATTTTATTGATTATGCTATTACAGTTGTTCTGATTTTCCCCCTTTGTCCCCCTCCACCCAGCATCCCCCACTCCCTCGGCCAGTCCCCCCACTATGGGTCATGTCCCCGGGTCATGCGTATATGTTCTTTGGCTACTCCATCCCCATCACTATTCTGTAACTGCCTATTTGTACGTCTTAATCCTCTTACTTCTTCACCCATTCCCCCACACCCCTCCCATCTGGCAACCATCAAAACAGTCTCTGTATCCATGATTCTGTCTCTGTTCTTGTTTGCTTAGTTTGTTTTTCAGATCAGTTGTTGACAGATATGTATTTTTTGCCATTTTATTGTTCATAGTTTTGATATTTTTCTTAAATAACTCCCTTTAACATTTCATATAATAATGGTTTGGTGATGATTAACTCCTTTAGTTTTTTCTTGTCTAGGAAGTTCTTTATCTGCCCTTCAATTCTAAATAATACCTTTGCTGGATAGAGCAATCTTGGCTGTAGGTCCCTGCTTTTCACAACTTTGAATACTTCTTGCCAACCCATTCTAGCCTGGAAAGTTTCTTTTGAGAAATCAGCTGACAGTCTTATGGGAACTCCTTTGTAGGTAACTAACTTCTCTTGCTGCTTTTAAGATTCTCTCTTTATCTTTAACCTTTGATATTTTAATTCTGGTGCATCTTGCAGTGCGCCTCTTTGCACCCATCTTGTTTGGGACTCTCTGTGCTTCGTTGACTTGCATGTCTATTTCCTTCACCAAATCTGGGATGTTTTCTTTCATTATTTTTTCAGATAAATTTCCAATTTCTTGCTCTTTCTCCTCTCCTTCTGGCACTCCTATGATGCAAATGTTGGAGCTCTTGAAGTTGTCCCAGAGGCTGTCTATACTATCCTCATTTTTTTGGATTCTTTTTTCTTCTTCTTGTTCTGGTTGGTTGTTTTTTGCCTCCCAATGTTCCAGATCATTGATTTGATTCTCAGTTTAATCCACTCCATTGTTGTTTTCCTGTAAATTGTTCTTTATTTCAATTAGTGTATCCTTCATTTCTGACTCGATCTTTTTTTATGCTGCTGAGGTTCTCACTAAGTTCCTTGAGCATCCTTCTAACCAGGGTTCTGAGCTCTGCATCTGATAGGTTGCTTATCTCCATTTCATTTACCTCTTTTTCCAGGGTTTTGATCTGTTCTTTCATTTGGGCCATGTTTCTTTGTCTTCTTGTTTTGGCAGCCTCCCTGTGTTTGTTTCTATGTATTAAGTAGAGCTGCTCTGACTCCATGTCTTCACAGTGTGGCCTAGTGTAGTAGGTGTCCTGTAGGGTCCAGTGGCACAGCCTCCCCTATCACCCAAGCAGGGTATCTGAGGTGTACTCTTTGTGTGGGCTGAGTAAACACTCCTCTTGTATTCAGTCTTAGTTGCTGCTGGCAGACCAATGGGAGGGATTTACCCAGGCCAGTCAGCTGCACGTACTGGCTGTGACCAATGACTACCAACCTCTGCCCTCCATGGAGGATCAGCTGTGCAGGGGCAGGGTGGTTGTGCTCTGACATGGTCTGTAGCTGCCCACTGGGTGTGCTGGCCCTGGGGTTTCCTGGGTGGTGCAGGCCAAGGTCAACCCCAACAGGGTTTTGCCTGGGGCACCCTGCCTGAGCTATAAAGCAATCTGAGATGTATGCTACTTTGTGCTGGGCTTGCAGATGCCCAGGCAAAGCGAAGCTCTGCATATAAGCTGGCTGCTGCTAGTGCCAGGCCTGGACCTCACTGAAGCCAGCTGTTGCTTGTTTGATAGGATTTAGGAAGTTGTGAAGCATCAGCCAAGACCAGCCATTCACATGGAAAAACAGCTTGGGTGAGCCCATAAATTGGGTGGGGTGGAGTCTCTGGGGATCTCCAAGGCAAGTCAAATGGTTTTAACCAGGCTGATGGAGTCTCAGATATGGCAGCAGCTTGCAGGCTCTGTGTTGGGAGGGTTTAGAAAAGGAACAATGGCCTCTGCTCTCCTTGATGCCAGACACTTCAGTTTCTCTCTGTATGTCACTGGTGCCTTTCAAGCTGCTACCCCGATGCTGGAGCTCAGTGGGAGTAAGTCTGAATAGGTGAGTTTGTGTGTGGGTTCTTTAAGAGGAACTGCTTGGGGCTCCAGAAATTTCTTCCACTGACTCAATGCCCCCTGGTTTTTTGCAGCCAGAAGTTGTGGGGACTTATCTTCCTGGCACTGGAACCCTGGGCTGGGGGGCCTGGCTTGGGGCTGGGATTCCTCACTCCCAGGATATCCCTTCTGAATTTTTATCTACCACATGTGGATGTGGGACCAGCCTGTTCCAAGTCTGCACCCCTCCTACCAGTTTGGATGGATGTGATTTCTTTAATTCTGCAGTTGTCAGACTTCCATCCAACTCAATTTCTGACAGTTCTGAGTGATGGTTGTTCTATATTATAGTTGTAACTTTGATGTGGTTGTGCAAAGAGGCGAGCCATGTCTGCCTACACTGCCATCTTCGATAATGTTCTTTTAGAATTTGTCTTGGCCTCAGTGTCTTGATACTGTATATAATTTACAACTTATAATTTATGTCCTTGTCTATAAAACAGTGACATTAATATCTGCCACATAGCGCTGTTTAGAAAATTAATGATAATACCTCTGAAAGGATCCATCATAATATTCAGCATCAGTTTCCATCTTCGGTACCTAGTTGTGAATTATACCAATTAAAAGCTTTCGGCCGTTTCCTTAGTGAAGATAAGGAAACACATGGAGAGGAGACAGTTAAACTGCTAAAAATCAAAGTTTATGAGAAAAGTTGAGAGTAACTCGTCGTGACAGAAAAGGATAAAACTGTGTTTCCATGCTCCTTGATTAAACCAACATTTCCTCCTCTGGCTCAGCTTCTTAGTCCGTAAAATTAGGAGAGTCCCTACCTCCTAATGAGGTCAAATGTTATATAAGATAAGAGTACATGAAGAACCTACTCCTTCATTCAATAATAATGTTAGCTATTATTACTTACATCAGCCAAAGGTATTTCTTCTGCACAAGACTGAAACATCTTTTAATAATTGCTTTTGAAGTAAAATACTGACCAGTTGATTTTAATCATCACGGAGTAAAAAGAATGAGTCTTGAGTTGCAACATAAAGAATTTTACTTTCAGATAGTAATTGTTAGAATGTAGAATAGTTTTTCAAGAGAAATTAAGAAATTTCTGTCTTTGGAAGTTTGCAAAAATATGAAACATACTATTCTGGTATGATTTGGCTGCTGTTTCTCAGTTACGAATCTCACAGACAAAAACTGCTAAATTTTGCATATTCTTTGCCAGACAACCAAATTAAGAAGTTTGCATAAGTTTTTAAGAGAACTCTAATAATTCACTCTGGATGCTGAAAAATTTAAGTTTTGTTTAGGCATCTGAAGGATAAAACTATGGAACTTACAAGTCGCCTACATGTTAATACCACACACCATCAGTCTATATATACCGAATAATATTTTAATTTCTCCACTGAAAGAGTCTATGCTGATAAATGACTATAAGTCAAAGCAGGACTACAAAATAATGATATAATATGCCTATAAAAATTAGTTTCATTGGTTTATAATTATTTATCTACTTCCTTATCCAGTAGTTATTACTTGGTACAGAATTAAATAAAAGGGGCTTGAGGAAGAATAAAAAAAAAGTACCTTATCCTAAAGAAGTTTTATATTTAAGTAGGATAGACAGGAAAGTAAACAAAAAATTATAATTCACATCAAACCTTAAGTTATATAATGATCCTCTGCTCATCTGCTGATAGCTATGGAGAGCCGGAACAGTTCTTACCTTTTGAAGGAGGTACGTCTTTTCCAGTGTAAGGGTGTAACTTTACTCTCTTCTTCCCTCTCTTTGATTCAAATATGTCATCTATTCTCAATACAAGCTGAAAAAGGATCAGAAAAGTACAAGCTAAAACCAACACCAACAAGTTTGCAGCCTAACGGTATTAATTTGTGATTCTCACTGAGAAAAAGATCCATTTTATAAATAAAAACTTCATTTCTCAATTTTGAGTCTAAAATGACCTCTAGTACGAGGAAACATTGTTCTAACACAAAGTCTGTGTAACATGGGTAAAAGAAGGAGATGCCTTTCCCGAGGATCCCAGCACAGGCTCCCAGAGGGATCCCCTGTCATGCCGTGTCGCAACAGGGAGGGAATCTGGCTGCCACCTTCAATGGGGTAACCAAGCCTTTACTATCTGACTCGAGTTTTTGCTTGCCCAGTGTAGGAAGTGGGATACTTACTCACTTGGAAGGCAGGGTGGGGCTCAGTTATTTTTGCTCTAAGGAATTTTTAGCAAAGAGAGGACAGTCATGCTTAGAAAGCTTTTATCAAAGGGAGTATCTATCTCTTTGCTACTAGGAGCACTGATAATACAATTTATTTTAGAAATGTCACAAAATTAGGAGACTCTCAAACATGCTCAAGAGCAATAACTATGCTCCGTTTAATAAACATTCTTTAGAATAATTTCTTTGCTGCCAGGAGGTGTGTGTGAAAGACAGACACATAGACATACACACAGACTAGGCTTAAAAAAGAGGAAAGAATTAAAGCTGATCAACAGACATTTTAAAAAGAGGAATTGATTAGTTTTTTCATGTATATTTTTCTTTTTCTTAAAATTACAAGCTTTTTCTTAACTATTAACCCTGATTTAACACAATCAATGCTCAGAATTACAATCGTTAGGAACATCATACAAGACGATCACTAACAGAGTTGCTTGAGAAAAATGCTCTTGCTTTCTCTTTTGTCCTTGTTTCTCTAGCAATCCTGGCAATCCACAGGCAGTGAATCAGTCCAATGCAAAAAAACCCCAAAAACCAACAACAACAAAAAAACATGTGAGAGAGACATGTGCTTCCAATATGCAGATTATTTCCACATTTCTGGATGAGTTTGTTCTTTTAAAGATTTTTGTAGCTGGTATTCAGATGAAAAATTTAAAATGTTCTTAAAAATTAGCATTATTTAAAAAACAAGAGAATCCAATGTAAGAGTATTGTTAAGGGCTATAGGAAAGATATGAGAGTAAACATATATTTTTGGTTACAAAATGAACATAACTAGTATAAATATTAATGTGTATTAGAAAAGTATACTCCAAAGTATCCTCAACTTTCATAAAGGAAAGGGAACAATGTTCTAGAAATATGAGATAAAGTAATAAAATTTAAATTTTCCTTATGAGCTAGGAAGAAGAGCCTGCTTTTATTTTCTAATTGTGGGAAATACTGTAGAACAGCCTTCCTAAGAAATGACAGAAACCATTGTTGTACACACTTCACACAAACAAGATGAAACCTTAGGAAATCACTCTAGCAAACACAGGCTTCCACTGCAGGGAGAGAAAGGAAGGGTGGGGAAGAGGCATATGGACTAGATCAGCGATCTTCCAGCTATGAAACCAGTTTCTCTTCCAGGGATAGCTCTAGTCATCAAAGGGGAAATAATGAAAACGACTTTCCGGTGGAATGTTGTTCCTACAGACGCTCCCAAAGCCAAAATTTGTGTTGCAAATGGAACGTCCCAAAAGGATTTAATTCAAGGAGGGTCCCAGGTAGAAATGCTAAGAGTCTGCTCCTGCCTGACAGGAGTTCCTCGTCATCCTCCCCCAGCCCCGCTATTCTCACTACAATCAGAAAGAGGATGAGCTTCAAGCTCTCAGGGGATCCACAGGAAGGAAAATACTGAGGCATGAAATCTAAAGCGCTGCAAATCTCCTCAGGTCTCCTTAGACTCCACAACCCACAGTCCCAAGGATCTGTAACGCCATCCCAAGAACCGCATCCTTCTCCAGCGCAGTCTCCTCTGTGTTTATGCTCATCCACCGGGATCTATGTGGCGGGGAGGGGCACAGGCTGCCGCAGGCCTGGCCCTTCTTTAAGCCCCTGATTTTTAACTCTGCCTCACCATCCACAGGAGAATACACAGCTCAAGATTTATCTTTTTTTCCACTGAGAGAGATCAGTTTAGTGCTTCTTAAAAACTGTCAACTTTTTCACATATTAAAGAGGGAGGGGCAGGAAATAGATCAGAAGTATTAAAGTAATTATGGAACAGAATATTTCCCAAGGAACCAATCAGTTACTAAACCAAGGAACAGCTGTGACTTCTGTTTATTGTTAAAATGAAGTATAAAAACTGTGTGCTAAATGAATACACACAGCTAATTCAGATGGGATTAAGGGAAGGAATACTATTTAAATGATCTGATTTTTTTCCTTTCTGAACAGTAATCCTGAAAACACTTTGAATTACAGAACAAAGTAACAAAGAGCTTGAACTAGTTTCATGTAATTTCTTAAGTATATCTCCTAAACTATATACAAGGTCTGTCCAGAAGATGTCCAGCCTTTGTTAATATAACGAGAACGGTCTGTGCAACATGGATGTAATCTAGAAGCCAAGGAGAGTGGACTGGAATGCACATGTGTGAACAATGACAGACTCACTGTATTAGTGGGGGTGGTAGATGCTGTTGAGTGAGCATGTGCACAGTGTGACCGCTGCATTAAAAATGACTAAGCGAGTAAAGCAATGAATCTGCATCAAATTTTTCATTAAGCTTGAACATTCCTCTGTGGAAACTATTCAGATGATTCAGGAGGCCACAGCTGGGGGCAACTGGCCACTGGCCTTCATCACGACAACGCACCTGCTCATGCGCCATGTCTCACACAGTTTTTTGACAAAAAAGCAAGTCACCCTGGTGACTCAGCCCCGCTACAGCCCAGATTTGGTGCCCTGAGACTTCTGGTTTTTCCCAAAACTAAAATCACCTTTGACCTTTGATGAGATTCAGGAAAATATGACAGGACAGCTGACGGCAACTGGGAGAACTGCATGAGGTCCCAAGGTGCCGACTTTGAAGGGGACTGAGGCATCACTGTTCTATGTACAATGTTTCTTATATCTTGTTTCTTCTTCAATAAATGTCTCTATTTTTCATATTACATGGCTAGATACCTTCTGGACAGACCTCATATATTGATACATATTTCTACAAATAATCCCAATTTCTTCATTTTGATTTCAATGGCTCTAGGTGAGATATCTACAGACTTACTGGCTTTTCTCCCTTGAGAAAGAAATAATTTATTTAATATAATTGCTGAGAATTTCTAATCCCAAGTAATAGATAGTCAAATACCTTTTTTTCTTCCTCTGAATGGAAATATTTGTCTCAAAGTAATGGTATATACTTTTCAAAAAATATTTACTTATTTATTTTTCAGAGAGAAGGGGGGGAGAAAAAGAGGGAAAGAAACTGACTGGTTGCCTCTCGTACACATGCTGACGAGGGACTGAACCCTCAACCTAGGCATGTGCCTTGACTGGAATCAACCAGCGATGGTGCTCTATGGGGCAATGCCCAGCAAACTGAGCTTCACCGGTGAGAGCTAATGGCATATACTTTGTAATTACTGAAAAATCTGTAAATTCACACATAAAACTGAATTTACTTTGGTAATTATACAAATGAGGAAGAACACTGAAGCTAGCTTAAGAAAACGTTCTTGTGTCTGCTATTCTAGTGCTTCCTTGGAACTGGCAGTTGCCTGCAATGAGAACTGAGGTAGCAGTGAAGCCCTCCCTCCGAAGTCGATTTTCCAAACCCACCAGGAAACCTTGGCAAAATCCATTTATGCATTTTTCTTGCATGAACAAAAACCTAAAGCTTAAGGCTGCTTTCCAAATCTTCTAGTTCCAGTAGGCCAGTTCTAACTTATTATTCGTATCAGTCTCAAGTCTATTTACTTGCATTCTGAGAATAAATGCTTAAGTAAGAGCTAGAGAAAGAAAGTCCTGAAGTCCTTACCCGTGGAAGATTTTTTCTTTTCCTGTTTGCAACTTCTCCAGCCCGGAAAAGCTTCCATTCAGTTAAAGTGACAGGCAAAGTGGTATCCTTTGTGAGCTTTGACCTTAAATAAGCCTGAGAGCTCTTCAGTTCCATAGTCTTGCGGTGAAGGAACTGAGGTTTGGGAGGAAGCTAAAACAGGAGAAGATGTAGTGGTAAGGGTAGGATCAACTAGTTAACACCTGTGTCCTCGAGGTCAAAGCACCCCCCCCCCAATATTTATCTTTCCTTTAAAATCATCCATCATCCCATGTGTTTCCTGTTCTTTTTCATCATTTGCAAAGAAGTTTCCCCAGCTTCTAACCCAAAGTTCCTCTACTACAATGCAATCAAATTTCCAGAAAACCACAGCTCAGAGTCTTCCTTAACACAAGGCAGCCTTTGCTTCCAGGGGTGGTGACTGTTTCCAGGGACCAGACAGGTTTAGGCCACAGGCTGATGTGACGAAAGGGAGCTGATGTAACTGACTACAGTGAACCAAAACGTTCACGGCCTGGTGAAAGGCAGTCATATTCAAATGTTTTTAAGTGCTAAAAACCCAACCAAGCACCCCCGCAACCAAAGAAAACAAAATGCTGTGTACTACCCCTGCCCCCCAAATAGAACAAAGAACAAAAAGCCACCACTAAGAACAATAAAATGCCACATTTCAGTGCCTCTTAGTTTTGGTCCTGGTTAAACCATGTTAATCTTTTTAGAGGGATTATACACAAGAGTCAATGTTTCCATGCATTGATTCCCTGGCGATACCTTGGGTGCTCGGAAGGCGCTCTTAGGTGGCGGAAGCCTCCACGCTGATGGCGGCCTCCACAGGGGAAAGGCCTGCATCGGGATATCTTCGTAGGGATTCTCTTTGGCAGGATCTTGAAAAAATAACAAAAAAAATATGGTTAGAGGAACATAACTAAATGAAAACAAAGTGTTTACAGCTAGGAAATAAAAGACTGGTTAAATATGTTCAGCTTTCTATTCCACATTGCTGGTGGGAGGGAGGTCTCAAAATCAAAGGCCCTTAAGCTTGGAAACTACCCTGGCACCCAACCAAGCTAAAAAAATTCTCTAAATACTGGGCTATAAACATCTCCTTCTGACCTGGGCAGTCCACTAGGCTAGTTGTACAAGCCATTAAAGAATAAAAGAATTTATACAACAAAGGTTTCCATATTTAAAAAAAAAACAAAACTCTAGAGCAAGATGTGCTTGATTGTAAAACACCAGCCTGCAGTTTAGGGCTCCACCAAACACACACTCCATCAATTTAACTGCAAAGTTTGTTGACACTCACATATTATATCTTCATAGATGTTGTCCTCGGACTGCGTGTAATAAAGTGCTGAGCCAGAATTTCTTCCAAGTTCTTCATGCATCTTCTGCGTGTTCCGATTTCGAAAGTGATGAATATCTTCAAATTCAAAGGATTTCCTTAAGAAAGGAGATACATGTTCAAGTTGCATGTTCTAAAACTCTAGTTTTTAAATTGGTATGACAGATAAAAATCGGTAAGTAAAGGACTCGTGTGAAAAATTACAAAGGTGTTTTATCAGATACGTAAGAATAAACTAGGCTAATGCCCTATATGCGTCATGAGAAAATTGGAGGCTTTTAGCCAATTCCCATTCATGTTCTTCACTGAGTACCTTTCTTAAGTTCGTTCTCTAATGAAAAGGGAGGCTAAGGACAGCATGCTGTAAGAGAGGTAGAAGAGTGTACTCGCTTCCTTACACATGCTTAAAGAGAAAATGCAAGTTTTTTCTGATGCTCTTATGTCAGTAGGTTGTGTCAGATATTAGCCATGCTTCTACTATTTCCTCTTGGGTTAATTAACATCTGTATAATCAAATTAGGGGAATAGAAACTGGTTTGAAAAGGAAAAAGCAGCTCAAGATTCAATAAGGAAAATATTTACAAATCATTACATATTGATTAAAAACATACCTTTTAGACCGTCCTCTGATTTTTCCACCATATTTCTTTGGTTCAGGTTCCTGAGAAGAGGCCAAAGGAGACTCTGCACAAGAATTATTTTCACAGTATTTTCTGTCACAGTTTCTTTCTTTACATGGTGTAACACCAGATTCAGATAAATATCTGAATGTTCTACGAGGTTTTGGCAAAGGGTTTATAGAAGGTCCACATTCTTGTCCCTCAGGCTCAGAGTAAATGTTTTCCAAGCTCTTGGTTACTCCATATGAACCCTTCAGAACCCTGAAATTCAGTTCTTTCTCTGAAGAGACACAATGTTCGAGAGCCAAATTGAAGACTTTATCTGGGGGAAGTGCCTCAATTTTCTTCCACAGTATTTGTGAGGTATAGAAATTTCCTGGAGGTAATGAAGTCTCTGGATCCAAAACAACTTCTTTCCAGTTTTCAATTTGTTTGACACGGGAACATACCCAGTTGGATTCTGATTCATTTTTAGAGATGTGTGTTTTGTCACGTTTCTCACGTTCCCCCTCACTCTGCACATGGCTTTTGGCATCTTCATTAATATCTAGGCGGACACTGTGAGAGTTGGTTCCATCGAACTTGTTGCCCTTTCCCTCAGCCACAGGATTCTTCTTAAGAAGCATCTCCTGATGACATTTGTATCTCGCCCCAAAGTCCTTCTGGTGCCACTTATCTCGATTAGATAGGCCATTAGTCCTTCCTTCCCACTGAGAAATTTTTTGTTTGATGTTTTTGCAGTGGCTTCTTGACAGTGTCTGAACAGCAGAACGAGAAAAACCAACATCCATGTTCCCCGTTGGGTGCATACCAAAGTGATGAATTTCACTAGGGTTCCATCACAAGCAACTGTGAAATACTGTGTTCTTTATCCTGTCAGTTAGAATCCCGACAATTCCAGAATTTTCCTTTCATCTTTAACTTGGAAATTTCTTTTTATAGAAAAATTCTGATCATTGATCCTAGTTGAAAATGGCTGCAACTTTATTTTGAATAATCCTATGAAAATAAGACAAGAATATATTAACAGTTTTATAATTTTCTAATTTACACATCACTAAAACATTGCCCACCTATCCCTAAATAATTCATTTCCACTGAATCTGTAAAAATGTACCTGTCGCCCATCAAGTAATTCAACTCCATAAAGCTTCCTAAAATATTACTTGCAGTAGTTCTCCAGTTGTTAGCTGTAACTGTCTGCCATATTTAATTTCCTAAAGTTAGGCAGAATGAGGTTTTTTAAGAGACTGTACATAGTAGTCTATAATATTATTTTAATATATCAATCCTTTATGAAACCTTCTCTTAATGAAATAAGGACCTACAGAGTATTATAAAAAGCATACATATACAGAAATGCATCTCAAATAACCAAAGGTTTGTGTATAGATCCAAAGGAAGAACCAGTCAGTCTAGAAGCATACCAATAGCTAATTTCCTCCTCCTCTCCTATTTTGAGAGATCATATTAGCCCATCACATACCCTTATTTCGACGTTATTATTAGCAGCACAGGATCCCATACACACAGTGCCAGAGACAGATGCCATTAACTATCACTTGCTTTAAAATGTAATAACCTATTATGTCACTGACTGAAGTTTCCACATCTCTGCCACCACACCCTTGACCCAGATCAGCAAAAATACTTACAGTCATTGTCACATTCCTTCCTTTCACATAGAGGCTTCACTCATAGAGGCCCATAAACTGTTTCCTCAAAAATGAAATTTGGCAGAGAACTTTTCCTATAAACTGAGTAAAGGCCCGATCTCAAGTTCTACTGTATGTGGGTTATAAATAGCAACTGATTCAAAACTTCCTGAGGCAGAGGTCATCCTTCCTCGGGCTTTGTCTGTGTGGCCTTGATTAACAGGCAGGAAAGTATCTTGGCCCAGCTCAGTCAGCAAAACTGACACACACCGTGCAAACACGAAACGTCTGCTGGGCAGAGCAGGGCTGGCCTTAGCTTTCATTTCAGCTGTTCCCACAGGTTTGTAGGAAAACCAGCTTTGCCTGCACGTAAACTCTGGTGAGCCTGATGCAAAGAAAATCATTCTAAAAACCTTAAATTAAACTCATGTAGTGGGGGGAAAACCAAACCAAACCAAACCCCCCATATAGCAAAGCTGTTGTGTAGGAGTCTTGATCAAAGATGAATGCACAGAATTTGAAGATCCGATCAGTAATTGCTCGTTATTAAAACTCTGACAATCCTTTTCTCGCCTTTGATGTGCACAGAGGACTCCTAAGGACCTTGGGGTGTCCCTGAGGCTCAAGTTCTCTTCAATACAGACGGGAAGTGCTGTTCTCTCTCCAGCAGCCTAGCAGAGGTTTCTGGTAGTCCACGTTAATTTTTTCTTTGTTCTTCCCTTGTTAATGTGTTTTAAATATGAATGGGTCAAACTGAGAAGAAAAAGATGAAAGCTGCTAGGGCTAAAAAAAATATAGCTTGAAAATTCCTGGCAACAGATGGCTTCATCTATGGAATTCACACACAGATGTAAATGACATGTAGTGATGGTGTTTCAGAGCCACAGCCTCTAGCTCCCTGCTTCCTTGCAGATAAATAAATAAACAAGTAAATAAATAAAGCAAGTCAGACAACAGGATTTCATTGCCTAACCTGAATGCTTTAAGGGAAAATTTAAGGGAAAACTCTGCCAATATCAAAGTCAAAAACAAATGGTTGCCTTTGTTGGCGTTAGCGCCCCTCAGAGCAGGTGCTACTACTGGTGCTCTGCATCCTTGTAATGAAGCGACAATCACTTAAATAAATAGTGTTAATAAACTTGTTCCTAAAGTAAACAAAATCCAAACCCAGTGAATTTCACTTGTGGGATAGTATGACTAACTTTCAGTAAAACAATCTATTCCGTTTTCATGTAAGGCTTACTGCTTGGATGCAAAGGAATTTCAGACCCTTTTGGAAACAGTCAATGTATACTGGATAAGATATGTTAATTATCCCAAACACAAGTCATTCTGTGCACTCAAGCCTAAATCTGCAGAACCAATATCACCTTTCTTTGAAGAACAGATTGTAACCGGGAAATCTCAAACCAGTGGCCATGCAGTCATATTTTTAAACATCTAAATAATCTGAGAGTTCTTCCTCAATCATGTATTGAGATCCCAAGAATACTATACTGTTCGTTGCAGATTTACCTTGGGCTCTTAGCTCTTCTTTTGTTCTGGGAAAAGAGGGCACTCAGGTGTAGAGGCCTATTTTTAAAATTCCAGTTTTAGGTTTAGTGTTAAAATGTTTATCTGAAGAAAATATGTCCCAAAAGGATTCCAACTCCTCAGCTATTATAAGGAACATAGCCAAATGGAAACCGAATCACTACTGGTGTCATAAGGGTGACTTATTTCAGGAAAGAGATAAGACTAAAGATAGAAGTCTCTGGGGAAGGTAACCAGCCCCCACCGCTCCCACCCTCCAAAAAAAGGAACCTTCAGGTTTTTTTTTTGAAGGCAGCATAGTAAGAGGGGAAGAGAACTAGTATTTATTTTATGTCTACAACACGCAAGGTCCTTTAACAAAGGTTATAATCTTCCCTCTCAACCATATGAAATAGATACACGTTCGGCAAAAGTAACACCTGCTTGACTGTGGTTGGTAGGTTAATGATACGGGTGTAATAATTTATAGTTTCAATTTAAACATTTCACCTAAAATGTCATATGGTGTACTTGAGTGTGCTATTGTTATGTTACAGAATCACATGCTTATGATTCTGTAATAAAAGATTTTGTAATTAAGAGGGGCGTTATTTGTGCTGAACCTGTATTTATCTCTCTGTGCCATGTTCTCCATCTGAAAAATGGAGACAAGAGAGGTTTTTCTCCATAGTCCAAGGTCCCAACAGCTGGTGGAGCAAGGATTCAGAACGGATATGGCTACTCCAAAGTATTTTCTTTTCCCACTCAATATGCTACACTATTCCTCGTACAAAGAGCACTGGACTAGAAATCAGAAGAAACAGGAGTTTAAGTCCTATTCCTGCAACTTAGTAGTTGTATGACCTTAAGAAAATCACTTTACCTTTCTGGGTTTCAGTTTTCTCATTGGCAAATTGTGATTAATCACTGCTCTCTTGGTTTTTCCTTTAATATTTCTTATAATGCTGATCTCCAGCCAACAAATTTTCTCCTCTTTCATTAATCTAAAATAATCTTAATCACTTCATTTTGGAGGGTAATTTTGCTGCATGCAGAATTTTAGGTTGACAGTATTTTTCTTTACTAAAGGTTATCATTCCTTTGACTTGTGGTTTGCATCATTTTTAATGAGAAGTTTGCAGGCATTCTTACATTAGTTCTTACATTAGTAGCTTGTTTTCTCTAGCTACTTTCAGATTTACTCCTTACCTTTGCTCTACCTTTGCCTAAGTGTAGTTTTCTTTATATTTATATTTCTTGAGGTCTGTAGGGCTTCTTAGATTTTGAGTTGATGTTTTAAATCAAATCCAATTTTTATTTATTTTTTAAATCCAATTTTTTTAAGTAAAAAAGAATAAAAATAATATTTAAAAAAAATCCAAGTTTCCCCCCTTTGTTCATTTTCTCCTCTTGTTCTGGGACTCTAATTACACACATTAGACCTTCTGCTCTGTTACTTTATTTTATCCTTTTTTTCCTTCTCTGCTTCAGTTTAGATAAGTTGAGTTGATCTGTCTTCAAGTTTACTAATCACTTCTTCAACAGAGCAGGGTCCTATCTGCTTTTAAGCCTATCTAATGATTTTTCTTTCAGACACTGTATTTTTCAGCTTCATATTTTTCTATTTGGTTCTTATTTTAACATCTGGATTTCTCTTATGAAATACTCCATCTCTTTGCCCATTATATTAATTTCTTCCTATATATTACTTAACATAGTATAGAATTTGAGAACTTTAACCTGAGGTCCCTGCTGGCTAACTCCAACAACTGGATCATCTTCAGTTTCCCTTGCATTGACTACATTTTCTTTTTATTATAGTTTACATTTTTCCTATTTCTTCTAGTATCTTGTGATTTTTAATTATGTTCTTGACATTGCCTATAAAAGAACAGTATAGGAAACAATATAGTTTTTGTTTGTTTTGCTTGGTATATTTATGACACTTCAAGTCCTTCCTCCTTCCGGTTGTTAGGTTGACGGACTGATCATTCAGGTTTCTCTGACATCAAGCTGAGCAGAGGCGGGGTGGCATGTTTTATTATATGGAATTCAACTGGGATTAGCCAAACCTTTAACCTCCTGACCAGCTACATTTTTAATATTGTCAGCACTTGACCTGGAAAGAGCTTGGCTACAGTTTCAGATATTTCTTGTTTTGCCTTTGGATTAAACTCTGGCAGGGTATCACTGCACGAATTTGGGGGACTACACAATTTCTTTGTGCCTCCCTTATCCTCCTACAATGACGGTGTCTTAGTAAAAACTGGAAGATGGGGAAACAGCAAATATTGGGCCAAATGTTTTGGTTTTTTTGTTTGTTTTTTGCATTTTTGATTCCTCCAGATTCCAATCCATATTCTAATTCCAAAAGTCCATACAGTTAACTAAGGCTTGGTGAATTTCCCCTTGCCTCTATAAAGCCTCACCATCTACATCAGGGCTACCTGTTTCCAGACCATGTGCTTGGTCTCAGGTATAAAAGTTGCTGTGGCTCTCCGTTCACTTCCAAAGGAATTCAAGTCAGAGATCAATTCATTAAAGTTTTCTTGCATCTGTCCTGCCTGGTCTGGCTAAGCAGATTGGGCGTTGGCCTGAGAGCCAAGAGGTGGCTGGTTCGATCACCAGTCAGGGCACATGCCTGGGTTGTGGGCCAGGTCCCCAGTTGGGGCAACTGATTCATGTTTTTCTCTCTCACAGAGATGTTTTTCTCCCTGTCTTTCTCCCTTCCTTTCCCCTCTCTCTATAAATAAATAAATAAATAAATAAATAGTTTTTTTAAAGCTTAATTTTAAAAAATAAATTTAAAAAAAGTTTCCTTGTCTCTATTGC